AGGAAATCAAAACAGCTTACCGAAAAATGGCGCTCAAGTATGTCTATGTTGTTTGTTTTTGAGCGACCTGTAGCTTTTATAGTTTTTTCGTCTGGTGAAGTTTGTTGTGGAAAATTTGAATAATTTCCTTGCTGTTGGTAGTTGGGGGAGTTTTGAATTTTTAGTTATTTAACTTTCGGGATGTTTACGTTGGAAGCTTTGGTTAACTTGCCAAGATGCCTGCTAGGACTGGGTAGACTGGAAGAATTTGAGGGGGAATCAGCCTTGGAGCCAAAACAGAAAAAAGTTTCCGGAAGTCCCAGATTATCGGTAACTTTTTCGATTGGTTAACGAGTTTCTGGGTTAAATGTTGAGCTGGATTCAGGGTGGCTTATGTCATAATCCTGTCAGTAGTTGGTTCTTCTTGTTAACTTAAAGAATTGATGATTGAGCAACGACAATTTCTTTACATTGATTAGGCTCGCAATATAAAGACGAGTATTTAGGTGCTGAAGCCAATGGAAAGTTTAAATCGGTCTTCCCAAACATTACTATATTTTGGAATAAAATTAGGATGATATTCTTTGTTTCAATCCAAAAGAAAAAGGAGCGGGTAATGGTCATAGTAGAACTTGGCAACGCAATTGTTGATACTTTATTGTTTATTTATGCATCGTTCCCTTCAGATGAATAGCGTGAGCTTTTCAGTCAGATTGGTTTCCTTCATCTAGCATGAGCACTTAATGCTTAAGTGGAATATAACTAGAATAAATTCGGTTACTCGAAGTCTCACTGTGCTCTTTATCTTCTGAATCAAGGCGGTTTATCAAAAAAATTGCTATCTTTGTTTCATTCCAGATATCATCCTGACAAGAATGCTAACGATCCTAAAGCGGCTGATATGTTTAAAGAGGTCACCTTTTCGTACAATATCTTGTCAGATCCTGACAAACGGCGTCAATATGACTCGGCTGGTTTTGAGGTGATGCATTTTTTGTTTATTATTATGGATAATTAACTCTCCAGGAGAGTTATGAGCCAATGATTCGCTCCTAATTTATTTTTTTCATATATATTTGACTCTAAGACTAGGCCATCACTTGCAAATTCCAACATTTTAAGCGTCAACTTTTACATTATCTCAAGATCTTGACTTGGAATCCCTGCCATGTAATCATCTCTTGGTTCCATGTAGGCCGTTGAATCAGATAGCCAAGAATTGGAGTTGGATCTTTCAAGTTTAGGTGCTGTGAATACAATGTTTGCTGCACTTTTTAGGTAAGAACTTGTTGCTCTGCTATTTACTTTTACTGTCTTTTTCTCTTGTTGGGCGCTTAGAAGATAAATAATATTTTTCTTTATGGAAATTCTTTCCTTCCCTGTTGGTTTTCTCTTTTGTTCATTCCTTTTTTTTTTTTTTTTTATATCACAGTAAACTTGGTGTGCCAATTAAGACAACTGTATCAGCAACTGTTTTGGAGGAGGCACTTAATGGTGTGGTGACTATTCGTCCACTTCCCTTAGGGCATCCTTTATCTAGAAGGGTTAGCTGTTTTCTATACCAATAATGGACCCTTCTTTTATATCAATTTTCATATGCATTGGCTTCTGTTACGTATTCATTTTTGTATTTGTTGGCCATCATCTGTCAGGTTGAGAAGCAATGTGCTCACTTCTATTCAGTTACAATTACAGAAGAGGACACACAGGCTGGTTTTATTTGTCGGGTGCAATCATCTGACAAAAGCAAATTTAAGGTTAAAATCTGAATATCTTTGACCATAAAGGCTTTGTTTTTGGTATAGGTGCATTGATTGTTCGACTGAAATCCCTAGAAATATATGATTTCCTTCATAAGATGATTGCTTTTATTTTTCGGCAATTGATTTATTGAACTTTTAGCGTCGCCTTTTCCTTTCTTTTCTCTGTTTGGAAAATCCAGATGTTTACATTTCTGAAAATAAATTTTTGGCATTGTTGGTCAAATTTTAATCGAATGTGAAAATGTATTCTTAATTTCAGCATCCATTCCATATGTTATTGATCTCTACTCACGAGAGTTTTCATTTCACAGTTATTATATTTTGACCAAGAAGAGAATGGTGGATTGAGTCTTGCACTCCAGGTATTTCAGCTGTCTCCTATTTGTGTGTGTGAGAGAGAGAGAGAGAGAGAGAGATTCTTCTGCCTGCTGGAGTCAAGTACCTCCGGTGGATTCTTATTTTTTTAGTGGTTCTCTTACCATTCTTTGGGTTTGTGTCTTCAAACTTCCAAATATCCTAATGACATTTGAAGTTATTGTCACTGTAGGAAGATAGTGCAAAAACAGGAAAGGTTACCTCTGCTGGAATGTATTTTCTTGGTTTTCCTGTTTATCGGCTTGATCAAACAGCAAACTCAGTGAGTTGCCAGTATCAAGCAATATAACTCCTAATTTAATCTTCATCTTTTACATTTCCTTAATATTTATTTTTTGGATTATTTCTATACAGATAGCTGCTGCCAAGGACCCTGATACATCATTTTTCAGAAAACTGGATGGGTTCCAACCATGTGAATTGACAGAATTGAAGGCCGGTACCCATGTATTTGCTGTTTATGGTAAATATGCATTCATATGCTCAGTGCTTCATTTTTTTTATTGTGATTGTGCATTATATAAACTGTTAGATGCTGTTCAACTTTTTAGGTGACAATTTCTTCAAAAGTGCAAGCTATACCATAGAAGCTCTATGTGCTGCAACTTTCAGTCAAGAAAAAGAGAGCCTTAGGAATGTGGAAGCTCAAATCTTATCTAAACGAGCAGAACTATCTAAATTTGAGAGTGAATATCGAGAGGTCAGAACTTTGATTTAAGCACATGAGGCTCTAATTACGTTTCTTTTCACCAAATCTCACTTTTTGTATTGATAGGTTCTGGCACAATTTACAGAGATGACAAACAGATATGCACAAGAAATGCAAGCGGTGAGTATTTACTGTCAAGTTTAGGGTTTCTAGTAAACTCATGACAGATTTTGCTGCTTTCTTTTCTCCCAGTTACAGCTATCACTGAACCTTTTCTGTTTATTCTTTGGCATAATTGCGCAGATTGATGAACTACTGAAGCAAAGAAATGTGATACATGCATCATATACTATCACTCCATTAAAACGTAGTACAAGTAAGAGTAGGAGTAAAAGTTCTTCCAAGGAGGCGACAGAAGAGAGCCAACCAAGGGAGAGAAGATTCACAAGAGGCCGATCAAAGAAGAAATGGTATAACATCCACCTAAGAGTTGACAAGAGAAAGGCTTGCTGAGGTGAGAATTGGGTGTTGACAAGTTCCTTTATCTCGTTCGTTTTGATCAAATAGAGGATTGCTGCAGAATTGTTTGTTATTTTGTGAACCGTGGAAAGACAAATATTAAGAGCTTTGCACTCTTTTGTTTGTTTAGCACTTGTTCTAGTGAAGAAAGAAGCCTTTGCCAATTTGACAAGACCATGTTGTTGGAAGTTGGCCCCGTGGATTTGTCTGTCATACAACCACGTCAAGGATGACAACTCCTCATTGTTTTTGTAAAATTCTTTTCCCCCTCCTTATTTTAATTTGTCTTATTTTAGCTCATCTTCAGAATGTATACTTGTAAATTGTTTGATTTATTGATGAAGCTGGATCAACTCATTACACGGGTTGTAATTTTGGGTAGAAGTCAAGGGTGGTGGTTACTGGTTAGGGCCAGGTATGTTCTTACTGAATGGTAGGTCAAGGTAGCTAGCATGTAAATGGGCAAGATATTTGTCACTGTCAATTTCGGTATTTGACATTTGTTAACTTAAAAACTTTGTTGGATTGATCCTCTATTGTTATTTTCTCCTATTCATGTATTTAATAGGGAGAGGGAGAGTGAGAGCCAATTGCCTCTGGGAATAACGATATGCTGCAAACGGAAATTCCATGAGTTTGTGGATGGTGTGTCTTAATTTTACAAGTGGTTGCAGTGTATTATGTGCCTGACTGTTCCTTGAGTTGAACACACTAACCAATTGGGGTATTTGGATGAGTTTCTTTTAAGTGATTTTATACCGTACGAATGAAAAAAGTTTTATCATGTAAGGCACAGGGAGAACTTTTTGAGTCAAAAATTCTTTTAAATTACAAAATAGAAAAAATCGAAAGATACAAAGCAAGCAGCTAAATATTAACAACATTAGCATGATTATTATCTTCATCTTGATTATCATTATCAAATTCAATAATATTTTATTGCTCTTTGTTACAAGTGGACTCTTTTTAGTGATTAAAATATCAAAGTTTTTGTTTTCATAATTCTTATCTAAAATAAAACTATGCAGTAGTTACAAATACAAATGAGAGTTTTAACATTTGTTAGAATAAAAGAATTTGCATACTTTGTTAATAAGACGTGCACCGACGGTAAAGAAATATTCACTTGTTACTGTGGTGATCAAAATGCTAAGAATATCAGTTGTTATTCTTAAAAGAATTAAAAATTGATTTTAATTATCCTTCTACCAATTCAAGACATCTAATTCTTTTTAATTATCTGGCTTGAGTATTGGTTCTTTTAAATAATTTTTTAGTTTAGACTTATCCATAAAAGATGTATACATAATTATATACTATCTTGATAATTAAAAAAAAAAAAGCAGGGTTAAAAAGACTGGCCTTTTATTTTTGAGTCATAAAAAGCTAATCTTTTTAAGTCCAATTTTCTTTTAAATTTCTTAAAATACAAACCCAATCCTTCATTTAAAAGGATTTAAATGGGCTGACTTGATGGACTTGCCTGTTTTGACTGTTCTAGTGTGAAATATGTTAAAAATATTATATAAATAGGACTGGACCACAGGAATATTATTGATATTGGTTTCTTAATGTTGTAAAATATTTTTCAATCTTCTAATGATAAAATGTAGATATTAAAATTTTAAATATTAATATATTATACATTTAGTTTTATAAATAAATAATAATTGGTGCAAAAAATTATTATTTGTTAAATTAGAGGATTAAAAAAATTACTTTATGAAATCAAGAAATGAAATTAAAATCTCATATGAAGTTTAATGGAAGCGCTATCCTTTTCACGCCATTTAAATTCCAAAGCTAGGAATCCAAGTTCATCGGTACGTTACTGATTTATAACAAAGGGACTCTACTTTTCCCTCGAAGGTCTCCGCCTTTCAACAGTCAACACAACCATCTGAATTTGTCACCCTCTCATTTTAATCTTCATGCTTTTTTGCTTTTTCTGGCTTCAATGCATCAGTGGAACAGGAACCTACTCTATAATTTACATTTGAATCTCACGTTTCTCTGTTTTGATCAGTGTGAACAACTCACTCGATCTCAAGGTTGCAGCGAATTGAAAGTATCGCATCTGTGACGAATCTCTCCTTGATTCCCCGTCTTGATGTCCAGATTGCTAACCTTGATCATCGCATTAGCGAAATCTTGGAAGAACTTGTTCTGATCGGCTGCGTACTGATCCACGAACGATTTCGTCCTCTTGTCCAGCCACAATGCCGTATCCGTCGCCAGCAACCCTAATCCTCTCTGCAGATTCCGGAAATACATGTTGTCGAACTTCCCCGGCGTCATCACGTCGTTGAAGGCGCTCATTCCTGGATCTTTGCTTGCATTCGCGCACAGTTTCTTCAATCCTTCTACGTATTTTCTGTTCATCGCCGGATCGCTGGGTGAGGTCTTGCTGAAGTTGAAAATCCGGTAGCTGAATTGGCTGCAATGAGAGAATCCTATGGTGTGGGCACCCGTTAATGCGACCATTTCTTGTATAGAGAATCCCTTCGATTGGAAGATTGAGATGATTTCAGTTAATGTCATTGTTGGTTTTGGGTATTTTCCTTCTGCGTTTTTTGCTTTTGATTCGAGTCCGTCTCTTCGGCCTAATCGGACTTCGTAGAAGGGCCCGCCGACGATGACGACGAGGTCACGCGCCGTCTCCGCGAGGATGTCAGCGCAGGAGACGACGCCCGGGCATTCCAGCTCGAGGACGTTCTTGGCGCGCGCGACCACGTCGAAGCCATCTCCAGGGAGGGAGAGGTTGATGTCCGCGTCGCGCTCGGCGGTGTTGAAGGCGTTGCTGGAGACGAGAACGGAAGCGTCACAGCCTCCCACCATGCAGTCGTGGAAGAATAGGCGGAGGGCGGCGGCAGCCGTGGTCGGTGACGTTTGCTGCTTGTCTATTACTATCTTCTGGACTGTTTCTTTGAATTTCGGGCACGTCTTCTGGTAGTAGTTAACGTCGAGCTCGGATTGAATCAATGGAAGAAATGCAAGGCAGCAGGGAAGGAACAAGAGGAAGCGAAAAGTCATGATAAAAAGCTAAAAATCAGAAGTTTGGACTTTTAACTGAAGAATGCTGCGGAAAATGGTCAATTTCTGAGGTGAGAAGGAAAACAAATTCCAAATGCTAATTTTTCAAGAACACTTCAAATTCATGGGGGAAGAAACGAATTCTCAACCCTCTCTGATCCGAGAATGAACCAAAATGGTGAGCCTGGTTTGTGAACTAGTTGATGAAATGTGAAGGGAGAATTTGATGGTGGACCCATAATGGAAGAGAGAATTCACAGGAAGGTAGTCCTTATTTTTAGACATAATTGTGCGATGCTGAATTCTCCTGGTTGCAGATTTTTGAATATTTTATTTATTTATTTATTTGTGAAGTGCACACTTATGGTCCTTAAATTTACACTAGATTTTATTTTAGTCTATCAAATTTATTTAATTTTAAAATATAATCAAAAGTTTCTCCTATAATTAGAAACATCAATTATGCTAACTAGAAAATACAGACAAAACATTTAGATTTATGTTTTTATTTTTTTTATTCACATGTATCATTCTATCGGAGGTAATTCTCTTCAGATAATGACGTTAAATGTGAGCACTTCTCATAATAAAAATTCAAATTTTAGTTCATCACGTTCTGAGCGATTAACAATTCCAATTAAATCTTTTTTTTTGTGTGTCAAAGCATAAGTATCCTCCTATTAGAGGTAATCATATTCAAGACACTATCGGGTACTAAATGTGAATACTTTTCTCAGTAGAAATTTGAATTTTGATTCATCTTTTTGCTAGGCCCAACCCTATTAGTTTAATTGTTTATTTTAATGAAAACAAGACAATGACAAGTTCATCCACATGATTTTTATTGAAAATCAGAGATTGATTTGGCCCAAAGTTGTATCCAAACATAGCCACCGGGGCCAATGCAGCTCAAGGGAAAACTCCAAACTAAGTCCAATTGACCCACCAAGACCCAAAGGTCACCCCAAAGAAACTATTATGGGTGTTTGGTTGAGAATTTCATAATTGATTTTAATCAAAACATGTGTGTTTAGTTGATAGTTTTATAATTAACTCAATTAAAATATGGATGTTTATGTGAGAATTGCCAAAATCAAAATTTTGCTACATAATTGATTATCTATCACCTTCCCAAATAGGCACATAGTTTGCCACTTTGAAGGCATTTCTATATAATACGATGTTTAAACCACGATTTAACACCGTATCATAATACTCTTTCAATCTTTAATATAAGATCCATTTAACTAATTTGATTAAATTAAAGAAGTTAGGTAAGTTAGTTAATTATAAGAAATGTGACACGTTTTTCCTAAAACACCATGATCATCTTTCCTAATATCCCATCTCCCTCTTCTACTTGATTATGGTTGAGGGAGTATTCATAAGAGTAATTTAAAGAAAATTGATAAATATGAGAAATTGGTCTTATATTTAGAATTAAAACTAACTTAACAATTGGGTCCTATATTAAGGAGCAGATGAGTAATAAAGATTCAAAGTAACATACAAATTTTTCTATAGTCAAAAAGTTTTAAACTAATTATAAAACATCAACCATGGTAGAAAATAGAGAAATCCATTATTAAAGATCTACCATAGTTATATAGAAAATAAAATATTTTGCATTCTCAAAGTAAAAAGGTGACTGATTATCATGATAAAAGGGAATTTAATGAGGGTAGTGAGACAATAAAAATTAATATGATGTTGGAATTTAGTATAATTTATGAGGATAATATTAAAAATCAATTGAATTTTATTGGTATATATGAATTAATTAGTGTGTTTTTATAATAAGGATCGGAGAAAGTAAAAGAAACTAAAAACACAGCTTTTAAATAACCCTACTGTGGTTTTGACCAAAAAAAAAACCCTACTGTGGTAAAGAGCATCTACCATAGTTGGGAAAGATTGTTTTTTAATATTTAAAAAAGAGAATTAAATAAAGGCCTTGATTTAGGATCCCAAATTAAATCAACCATACATCATCAAGTGGGCATGGTTACCTTGAGGCCCAAAACACAAGTTCTATCACTAAGCCCACATATAGTATTATAGAAATAACTTTATTTGACGCTTAAAATTTGACCAATGAATTAAAAAGAAACGTCATATAAACCAAGGCAGGAGTTGGGAATGCACTTATTTGACAATTATTTACAAAATTGTTAAATATTAAGTAAATAAATTTGATGATTAAATATAACAACTGCCAAATATTTGTTACGAAAAATTTAAAATAAATTTACTTTCACTTGCTTGTCACAAGCCTTCAAACACTCTCTTTTACATTGTCATGGCTTCCTCTTCATCACTTCCTTTTTATTGTCATCGTCTTCTTTCTGTAGGAAAAACTTCATGTACTTGCAAGCCATGGTTTTGTTGAATAGGTAATTAAGGCCAATGCTTGGAAGGCTATGTGATTGATCCCAGCCTTGTTTGCAATCAAAATAGATACGATTTTTGAAATTTGGTGTTTCCATTTGAAATATTACCCAAAAAAAAAAACGTTTCTGACTCTTGTTCATTATTTTTTTTCAATCAATATTGAAGTATGATTTCTTTGACTTATCTCTAAATACTTTTGTTTTGTATTTTTTTCCAAAATGATTATTAAACACTGACTCAAGTAACTCAAAGCTTAAAGAAAACATCGTCTTTGATATTACCCCCCCAAAAAAAAAAAACTCTTTGAAAAGAGGAAAGGTAAATCGATGGCAACAATTCTCTCACACCTTCAAGTTTTTTTTTTTTTCCTTTGGTCCAAACACCTACAAGTTAACTTTTTGTCAGAAGTTACGGTGATTAATTCAATCGTGTTAACGATTTTTTTTTAAAAAAATCAGATAAATTTCTTTCTCGTACAATTTTACTACTAATATTTTTTTTAGTATAATTTTATTCCTAATTTTTTTACATAATTTTACTGCTGATATTGCATAAAAGAAATCATGAATAAAATTACATCATTAGAAAAAATTAGGAGTAAAATTACTTTTACCAGGTCAACTATTTTTTCTTCTTCATCGAGACATGATGCCAGCAAAGTTAGCAATGTTAATGCTAGATTAGCAAAATTAGTTTCGTTAACCCCGGATGTTTTTCTATTAATCAAGGTAAAAGAACTTGGGGCAGTTATATTAATTCCCGCTGGTAAAAATGTCTATATTTACCATCTGATAATATCTCGAGTAAAATTGCTCCTAAAACAAATACCTATGTGTGAAAACAAAAAGTTTGTTTATGTGAAATCGTGTTAACAATTTTTTTTTTTTGGCCGAAAAATCGTGTTAACAATTGAGGCTCCTTTTTAGTATGCAAAATATGTTAAATAGGGACAGGCAAAATGGGCGGATGAGATTAAATCCACATGAATCAAATGGTCATTGACGAGAGAGAGAGAGCGAATGGTCATATTCGTAACATAATTAATATACTCTTCGGTCCTAATTATAAGATCCAATTGACTTATTTGAGGAGATTAAGGAAGTAAGTTAAATTGGTTATTTATAATAAATAAGTGTTTTTCCTAAAATATCCTTGCTAATAAGTATATTTAAAACTATCATTATTAGAAGGATTATTTGGAAAAAATGCATAAATATAAGAGACAAAAATTACTTTAATTAACCAAATAAAAAGTCAAATGGGGTTTTATAATAAAGACCGGAGGAGTATTGACTTTTGACTGCGTGAAAGCTGATCTATTATGGACACGTGATTTGCTGCTGCGATTGCTGGCTGTCCCATTCATTTCATCATTAATGCGAGTGATCAATATGATTTTGGCCTTGTCTTCCACATTTTTTCCACAACGTGACTTTTATTTATTAGTCACGTGTCTACAGCAACTTGATTTTTTTCGGGGGCAGCCCTTAAAGTAACATTGCTTTCTGATCCCGCCCCCGGTCTAAAAGTCCAAACACAGTAGTCTAACTTCAGTACTTCACGTTCACGGTTAGTGTTCGACCATTTTGAATTTTGAATTGAAGGGGTACGGAAAAATGATTTTTTTTTTTAAATATGTGTTAGGTTTTGACGTTTAATTCTAGCGTGCTGAGAGTCTTCTTCTGCCTGATTAATTAATGAATAAACAAATAAAAATAATTATTATATATTATTTAGCTAACTTTTATCATAATACTTTTCTGGTCTTTAATATAAGATATAATTTGACAGTTGATTTTAGTCTTATACATAAGACCTATTTTATACATTTATTAATTTTTTCTAAATTAAACTTATCCATATTCTCCCAATAATAATTAAGTAGAAGAGGGAGGAAGGAAATTAAAAAAGTTGATTAGAGTATTTTAGAAAAAAATATTGTATCAACTAATTTAACTAGTGTCCTTAATCATTTAAAATTAGTTAACTAGGTTTTACATTAAAGATTGAGTATTTTTGCATGAAAAATATATACTCCTACAATTCTTAAAGTATGACCCAATTAACTAATTTGAGTATTTACGATTAAATTTATTCAATACATATATTATGATGTAAGTATTGAGTCTAACAAAAAGGATTAATTTCTGATAATACAATAAATTAATGAGATTAAGACTTCATTAAAAGAGATGTCAATATTTAATATTTTGAATATGACTGCTACTAAATTCTAACAAGAGAATGTCTGTATATTAAAAAAATAATTAGAAATGATTTATATGAATGATATAAATATAATGAAGTAATAATATTATTTTATTAAATTAATGTGCTTTTTTAAATTTTATACATTTTGGTTTTTTTTTTCCGGTATAAATAAACATGATCAAACAAGATTGTTGGCCAAAATGTTCCCACATTTTGAGTGGGGATGGGGATTGTGATTGGAAAATTAAGGAGAATTTATAAATTTCAGATAGTATTTCGAAAAAAATTGTTTCTAATTAAAATTACTGGACAATAAAAAAATTACTTATGTTTAGGCAAAAAAAACTTACGATTCAATCACACATATATTTGGAAAAACTTCAAAATTTTTTACCATGGGTAACTAGAACCGAAAAATTGATGCTGGTTCAATATAAATATAGAATTGACATCCCACTAATAACAACAGAATCTAATTGACGAAGCTAATTTCTCACAAACCAACTAAAATTTAAATTCTTATTGAGAAAAATAATTGTATTTAAAATTTGATAGCGTCACGAGGATGTCACTAATAAAAAAATATCCGTACTTAATTAAAAAACAAAGTTTGAGAATTCTCATCCAATCAATATTATTGCTGTACAAGTTTATGAGGTTGAAATTAAATGTGAATTTTCACTTAAATTAATAAACGCGTGGACTAGATAACCTTATCCAAATAAATGGGGCCTATTTTCAAAGTTTTTCCTAGAGTTTGATTCTCACACCATGATGTGAGAGACAAAAGCAGCCCGTGAGCTCATGGGACAAAAAAAATTAAATCACGTTATTACAAGAGAAAAGATAAATCAATTAAAAAATGAGATTATTTTCAAAATAATATTTTTTCTAATATTACTTAACAATAATGTTTTTATTGTTTTCACTTAAAAAAACATGTTTTTATTTTTTTTTACACACAGCATTCTGTGTATCATACTCATACCTAACTTCCGGAAATACTCATCTCATTTTATCAGTTGTTTCTAACATATTTCATATAAATTATCACAAACTTTAAATTTTATTAATTTTAATTTAAAATTTAGTAACTTTTTAATGTTATTCCTATTTAATATACATCAAGAGTAAAATTATATATTTATATGAAAAATTTTTCTTCCTACCCTATAAATAAGACTATAGGATTATGTACTTGATGTTATTACCATTTTTCCATTTTAGGGGGGGACTTTTTTTTTTTTTTAAAAGTAAGGTGGTTATTTGAAGAAATTTTACATTCTCTCAATTCTTAATATATGACATAATTTGATAGATGATATTGGTTTTATATATAAGATTTATTTCACATATTTATCAATTTTTTCTAAATTAACTTTTTTGATATTCTCTTAACAATAATCAAGTAGGAGGGAGGAAAGAAATTAAGAAAAATAATTAAGATATTTTAGAAAAACACATCATATTAACTGATTTAATTAATACTCTTAATATATCCAAATTACAGTAATTAATTAGGTCTTACATTAAGTACCAGATGGGTATAATTTAGCAAAAAAGAGAATATACAGGGTAAAAGAAGTAAATTATTAAAAACTTACTATTAACCGCTAATCTTCTTGTCTTAATATGTTTGAATCAGTCCAGGACGGAATAAATTTGTGTGCGACTGGACCCGGCCATGTCAGGCAGTTGCGGTATTTAAACAATCCCCTTGGCAATTTCGACTTCATATCTACCACTTGGTCCCATGCCATGGAACTTCTTCTTCATCTCAGACATTTTCTTCTACTCTTTATCTTCATCAGCTTCTCACCTTCCTCCTTCTCTTTCATCTTTCACATTCCTACCCATAAGAAATGCTCAAATCAAAGTGTTTCCTTGAAACAGAAGATTGTCGAGATGGCCTATGACCCCATCAACTTGAATTGGATGAAGAAGATCAGGAGGGAAATCCACGAGCACCCAGAGCTTGCATATGAAGAATTCAGAACCAGCGCTGTCATTAGACGCGAGCTTGACAAGATGGGCGTGGCTTACCGGTGGCCTGTGGCTCGGACCGGCGTCGTGGCTCAGATTGGGTCTGGGTCTCCCCCTTTCGTCGCTCTCAGAGCAGACATGGATGCTTTGCCTATTCAGGTCACCTTCAAGAAACAGTCTGTTTTTTTTTTCTCCCTTCTGGGAATTCAGATTTTTTCATAATACAGTAACAGACTACAAAGATTGATGTGGATGTGTTTATTCGTGCATGCTCGTCCTAGTTGAAAGCTAAGTTCTGCATGCAATTGTTAATCACATAGGCTGTAATAAAAAGCTTTAGGAACCCCATCAGACTAGTTACTGTGCTATTCAATTGGACTCTGCATGGATGATTTGCCCGGTCAGATCAGCTGCACAAGTCTCCGTGTTTCTATTCTTGTCTCCTGCTCTTTTCTTAGCTCTTTTTTCGGTTCCCCTCTTTTGGCAACCTAAAAATTTTGATGCAACATGATAATAGTTGGAGAAGGATTGATGTAGATGCGATCATGTGTGCGTGTTCCTGTTTGTTGGAGTGATGTTCTGCCATGGGTACGTCAATTGCATAAACTGTTTGATGAAAAGCTTTTGGGACTGAAATAAACTAGAGATCCACAAATTGTGGGTCAGTTCTTCTCTTTGAAAACTATAACGACAAAAATAGAAGCTCTCTGTACCATTAATGCACCCTGTTAAAGGAGATGCTCTGTTCATCCTCACCCCTTCTTTCTTCCCATTCCCAACTAGTTTTTCAGTTGGACCTGTAATCCAAAATTTATCTTTTAAAAGACTTTCAGGTAACTTTTACATGTTTGTTATCTAAATCTTCGGTGAAAGCATGGTATGTATTTGAACTTTTTTTAATTCTTTTTTCTTTTTGGTTAAGTGTATGAGAACTTTAAAGAGTCAATAAGGTATTGCTGGATTATGAAAATATGCTGTGTATACTTTAACTGTTAAGACAACAAAATCTTGACAACTTTCACCTGACCTTATTTTTATTAGCACATTTAAGATCAAATGAGATAAATTATGGAACCTTGTCCTCATAGTTTCGGCTATATATGGTGGAATTCACAAGCCTATTTCAAAGCAATCCTTTCTATTCATTTGACTTGATGAATATGTTAGCAGAGAAATAACTGTGATGGGAGCTCTTTTCTCCTTTATGATCCAAATATATTTTTCAAGCCTAAAGATGAAAGCATAGTATAATGAATTGTTTTAATCACATACTATGTGCGTGCTATTGATAAATAAATCCTATGTTTTACTGTGACCCTATGCAGGAGCTGGTTGATTGGGAACATAAAAGCAAAGTGGATGGAAAAATGCATGCCTGCGCCCACGATGCCCATGTGGCCATGCTCCTAGGGACTGCGAAGATACTACAAAAACTGCGGGATAAGTTAAAGGTAAAGTATAATTGGGGAAAAATGATGCTTAGAATTCTTAGCTATTTGGCCTTGAAAATTTCTGCTTTACATGCAGGCCACTGTAGTTCTCGTATTCCAACCTGCTGAGGAAAGAGGCGCAGGTGCAAAAGACATGATCCAAGAAAATGTGCTTGACAAAGTAGAAGCTATGTTCGGGTTGCACTTGGTGATAGAGTATCCCCTAGGTGTTGTTGCATCAAGGCCAGGCGATTTTCTGGCCGGATGTGGAGGCTTCAAAGCAAAGATCACCGGGAAAGGAGGGCATGCAGGTTTTCCCCAGTATTCTATTGATCCAGTTTTGGCTGCTTCAACATCAGTCATTAGCTTGCAGAATATTGTTTCAAGGGAGGCGGATCCTTTAGATTCCCAGGTTGAGTCAAATTCTAAAGGAAAAGCTTTGCATGATGAAATTGAACCTATTCATAGTTTTACTCATAGTTCAGATAAATGCATCTACTTGTGATTTCAACAGAGAAATTTGTTTTGCAGGTGGTTTCTGTGGCCTCTATTGATGCAGGATCTGCCCACAATCTCATCCCTGAATCCACCACCTTTGCTGGTACCTTCAGAGCACACAGCAAGAAGAGCTTTTATTCAGTAAGGAAAAGAATAGAAGAGGTAATCCTTCTCCTGATATTGCATATTTATAGGCTACACAATCACACAAATTCTTGCATTTCATATTGCTCCTGATTAAAAGGCTCAATATAATCTAATTTGATGTCATAACTCAAGTCTATTAAAAATAGACGTGTGATCACAGTTAAGTCCCACTGAGAAGAAACACGTATGATATGTTTAATTATGTAGTCATGATTGTCTCAACCATCAGGTTGACTGTGAAGATACTAGAGCTTACTCATAAATGACTTTACATATGTGTGACTTGTTTTCGCAGGTTATTAAAGGACAAGCGGCAGTACATAGGTGCAACGCAGAGGTTAATTTTGATGGGAACGAGCATCCGACGATCCCTCCAACTACGAACGATGAGAGAGTATACGAAATAGTGAGGCAAGTCTCAAGTGAGATTGTTGGGAAAGAAAACACAATATTAGCTCCTAAATTCACAGGGAGTGAAGATTTTGCATTTTTCTTGGAAAAAGTGCCCGGGACTCTCTTGCTTGTGGGAATGAGAAATGACAAGACTGGAACCATATACTCTCCTCATAACCCTTACTTTGTTGTTGATGAGGAAGTTTTTCCAATTGGGGCTGCAATTTATGCAGCATTTGCTTTTTCTTATCCTTCATATTCAAATACAGAGCCTCATTCTCAGTGGTAGTTCAATCTTACATTTTCTCTCAAAATTTTTGTACTAGTCTTGTTTCATTCTTTGTTTGAAATTCATTTATAGTAGTCACTCATTTAACATTCTTGGGGTGTTGCAGAGTGCTAATCACATGCGAGCGCGACCCCACACACATTCCTTTACAGAAACAGCCATCCTTGTTGAAATTGATTGATAGACTCACTCACACCCACACATACCCCACAAGTAATGGAGAGCACGCGCACTCTGTTTCACACTTTCACTTGTCCCAAAATTAAAGGAAAATGTTTTTAAATGCCCCTTTTGAAATGGAACTATCCTATCGAGTAACCAAGTACAAATTATTTAGAAAATTAGGTATGTTTTCTTATAGTATCTCCGATCTTTAATATAATATAAGAGTTATATAACTAATTTGTGGTTATAAAAAAAATAGTTAAATTGTTTATTTGTAATAAATATGTTTTGGTTTTTTTAAACTAATTTCTTCAATCATGTGTATTGGAACTATTCCTTGGTAGAAAATCTCTTGATGTATGCACTTAACATGGATAATTTAAAAAAAATATATAAATTTGAAAGATAAAATGAATTGAAATATTATATTTAGGATCAAATTTAACTTTCAATAAGTTTTTACATTAAGGATGGGAACCTTTACATTAAGGGTCTATTTGGTATAAGGAAAATGGAAGGAAGGAGAGGGGAGGAAAAATATTAATAAGCTCAATTTAAAAAATTGGAGAAGAGGGCTTAAAAACTTTAAATTAACTTTGCTTGCTCTTTATTTTATATTTTCTGTTATCAAAATTTTATAACCCATACTTTTCTAATTTTTAAAATCGAATTCGTTAAAATTTTTTCTCTCCTCTTTTTCTTTCCAATTTCCTCATACCAAACACAGGTAAGGACAACCTCTCAACTCTTTCATTAAGAACGGGAGGTTGTATGTTCCAATAACATAATGAATCAGCTGTACTATCCGTGTGAATAAATGTAATTTGTCTTCCCATTGTCAAATTTGGTTAACTTTACAGAAAGTACTGCATCAGATAGCAGACAGTATAAATATCAGTAACTGGCATTCCGGAACGTAAAGTAATGGAGAGCAAGCGCACTCTGTTTCACTTGTCACAAAAGTAAAGGGAAAAGGTTTCTAAATGCACCTTTTGAGATGGAACTATCGTATTTAGCAGACAAGTACACAAGTACAAATTACTTAGCTTTATCATAGAAAATTAGACATGTCGTCTAATGTATTGCAACGTCATGATGAATGAGGTGCACTGTTCAAGTGGATAGATGTAATTTGTCTTCCCGTCGTAAACAAATCTGATTAACTTCACAAAAACTATTACATCAAATAGCAGGTAATAGAAAGTGTAGTTAGAATCTCATGATTTGCGATTTCAATCATGCGATTCAAGACAAAATTACAATGAGATATTCTAATCTCTCATTGTATCTTTCTGTGGCTTAAATCGTGCGGTTCATATTAGAATCATGCGATTTAGACAGTATTAAGTCGTGTTGGATTTGACTATATGACCTGACACGTTAAAAAACCTTTTTTTATTTTTATTTTTCTGATTTTTTTTCTTGTTATTTTTAGGAGGTAATATGCCGTATAAATACTCCCTAATGCACTTATCATTTTTGGCTTGTTAAGTACCAATCAAAACCTTAATTTTTTATTCTCTAATTGATTTTTGGGACTATTTATCATTAAAATTTGATATGTATTAGCTTCTTTTTTTTTTTAATTTTCTGAGAGATGTATAGAATCTACTATCTACAAACTTTTGATGTTCTCTTATATAAAATTACTTATACGTCATCTTTAATAATTATTCATAAATCTTACGATTCACGATACGTTTCGATTTAAGATATGAAAAATAGGTTTTTGAATCACAATTCGTATTTGATTTGATAACCAGTAATAAGTAGCATGATGGAATTTATATTACATAAACAACCCTGAAGTCCACATGGAATTTATTTGAGATAAATTTGTACGACCAGCATACACAAAATATAGCAATAGAGGAAGGATCACAAAACATACAGAAAACATCACATTCTCAGCTCATGTAAACTCATCAAGGAAGGGAGAAACATCGGCTAGATCCTCTGTTTCAATGCAAGAAAATCAAGCATGAAAGGAAGAAACCCTATGATCATTGCAGGGTAGATTAAGCTTCTGGGAGAGCCAGAAGGTGGGGATGCATTACCATGGCCTGAATCACCACCATATTGAGCAGCCACAGCTACAATCGTAACAACAAAGCAAGCAGCTAAAATGGTGAACCTCATTCTTGCAGCCATATCTCTATAGACGATGACGTTTCAAGGTTCGGTTTTGATCTGAATCAGTGTGTTTTGTGTGGGGGTTTATATAGAATGGAGGATGATGTTGTATTTTCCTCAAGCAGGGCTTAGAAAGAAATGCAGGTCCAGATGGCAGCTTCTGGGGTGAGCATATGAAGGCTTTGGACATAACTCCTATGATTGTTTTGTACTTTTGTTGTTTTATATGACAAAGAATAAGAATGTAGTTTTGTGTAGCAACAATATGATTATGGTTTGAACGAAGAATAAATGCTTTGTTCATTTGCTGTCATCTCTATGATGTGCTTCGGTGCTTCCTAGTTTTAAATGTCACTTGTCTGGACAAAAGATTGCTTCGGAAGTGTGTGAATTAGTATAACTATGCAATTGATTATATATTGAATAACTAGAAAGTTTTGAATTCTACGCATTTTTTCAATATTGAAATATGTAAAAAAAACAAAAAATGTTGCATGGAGCTCAACAAAACATGTTAAGAAAGACTCAAACACACATATCACAAGAAGATGAGTTGTTGAAAAAGTAACACATTAAAGAAAAATGCTTAAAATGTTATTGATATGATATAAGTATCTTGTTAGTGGGTAATCTATAATTATCTTTAAATTGTCTTTTTAAAGTTGTGAGGTTTAATATGATGAGTCCTCAAGACCCCATTCATCTGAAATATTTATATAACAAGAAAAAAAATTGAAATTACATAGTTGGATTGTCTATAATTTATGAATAGTGTGGCTGCTTATAAACTTTATAATTGATGATTGATGGTGATGTTGATTTTTCTTAAACATTTGAAAGGGATTTATATATGTAATTTACAAAAACTAATAAAATAAACTTATTATTATTAAATAATTCTTATGGATTCATAAACTTTAATATATTAAAAATGTTTTAATTATTTATATCTCTCTATTATTGCCCATCTAAAATAATCAATAGAACTCATCGAGTTTGGGAAGTCAAAAACCCAGTTGATGAGGGAAAAAAGAAAAAGGAAGGTGATGGCGATGATTCAACCCATGAAGAGGAAGTTATTACACCAATCTTTAAATGAAGTGGAGAATACTATTGATGTAAATGTAACCACTAATGCCTCAATTGCTTTTGAAGGGTGGCAATGATGAGCAGATCCAAAAGGGGGATACACCTAATGATACAATTTACACACATTGTCCAAAGGAGATGACAATGTCAACAAAGCACTCAATCTAATCTAGGGAGAATGGGTATTGTTGAATAATAGAGTAAAGCTAGGAAATGTAGAAAAATGTTAAGAAGGGCCTAGGGTGAATGACTGGTAGAAGATGGATGATTCTTTTAGCTTCTTATCCTAAATATATCAGCTAATATAACAACAACAACAAATCTTATCTTACTAGGTGGGGTTAACAACATGGATAACACAATGTTATTATGCTCTATCAACAACCAAATTTTTAGAGAGTTTGTTAACCAAAAGGTCTTATTTAATGACCTCGTTGAATATTCTCCTCTGTCTTTCTCTGCCCTTTTTTAAATGACTCCAAATTATTTGATTTATCCTTTTCACTAGTGCCTCCAATGGCCTTCTCTATATATACCCATACCACTTTAATAGATGAATTTATTTTGGTTCTAATCCATATTCTCAACTGTAATATTTTTTTTTTGGTTAGATACATGTATTATTCTATTTGAAATAATTTTTTAAGATATTGTCGAATATTAAATGTAGATATCTCTTGGAATTTGAACTATGATTCACTGTGTTACGTCGACCCCTACTTTTGGAGACAATTTAAGGAAGCCTTATAAATGAAACACTTGATTTTACGCCATTCCCAAATTTTGGTCCATAATCTTTCCAAGTTCCTCGTTGCTTGTAATTTTGAACGGTTTTACAGGCATGATTTCTTTGCTACGTATAGGTATCCTTCTATTGAAAGCAATTTTATTTGAGATACAAATGGACATTAAATATGAATACTTATATCAGCAAAAATTAAATCTTGATTCACCACTTTATGAAAAACTAGTCTTTTTTTCCACCGGATACAACCTCGTTGGTGTAATTAAATATTGACTCCCAAAAACGGAGAGATCATCTGCCCAACGGATATCCAATGACATGATGTGAATTCTTTTGGGCCTAAAATGAGCCCAAAGAGAATAAAGCTCGGGGCCCTTAAATTGGCCCAAATAAGGCCCATCGACGCTCGCAACACAGCTATCCTTGACGGTACTGTCTTCTTCCTCAAACTCATCAGTTTCAGCGTTTCAGGGGACTTTGAAGCTCCGGGTACACCTATAAACCCCCCAGCTCTGTACCATCCACTCCAATTTCCTACTCCTTCGCCTCCTCTTCGGTCTAGCACAACAAAGAAAAATCATTAAGTCAACTCTCTTATATATATGCGCCTCTAGAACCTATGGGCTTGGCGTCCACCCTTTCTCTCTGCTCTCATCCACAGGTAATCTTTTCCCGCTTCTTCTTCTTTTTCTGCTTCTGCTTGTCCTAGAAAATCCTAACTATCTCCATATTCATCTGCAGGCGCCCTTGCATATCCAGAGGCGGCAATGCTTGGGAGTTTGTGGGCAATTTGTGCGTCTTCCAAGTCTTTACTCGGCAAGAAAGCGTGGCGGGTTCAGAATTTTGGTGGTTAGGGCTGCTTCCGGCGTCCGTGGTACTCAGAGTCGGTCTACTGGCGCTCGGAGAGTTTACCGACAGTCTCAGGCTGAAGGACCTTTATCCAGTGGCCCGGTGAAGCAGATTGCCTCCGTTGTTGTGCCTGCTGGAGTTTTCGTTGCCGCCACTTTCGGTATGGGCGCTTTTTTATTTACGTGTTTTGAAGTTTCTGCCTTTGAACTTTGAGCTGAATTGACATGTATGATGCTTTATCACCCAATTATATTTATAATTGTTTAAGTTCGGATTGCCATTGGCTACTATGATGTTTTAAGAATTAATACAGTTTCTTATTGCGTAAGAAAAACCTGAGCTTCACAATGCACAATGTCGTCTTAACATTTATGTGTGTTTAGTTTTGGATGGAGCTGGCTGCCTTTTTATGTCCCTCCCTCCCTCCTTACTGTTTTAATACGATTTGCATGAGGACCAACTTTGATCACTTAAACGGTGACTTCTGGTAATTTTGGTGTCACTAGCTTGTGCCAGACAGTCATATGTGTTGCTTGTGGGATGAAGTGCTGACACCTGGTGTTAGGTGTTATCTATTACGTCGTAATTAAAACTACACCTAAGAGCTTTTGATGAAAAGATTCTATTTTGATGAGGTAGCAATTTGTTGCTCAAGGGTGAAGTTATTCATGCCAAACTAAAATTCTATCCCATGCACGAATGGTCATGGTGATATGTGAAAATAAATAAGCAAAGTTTAAACGTTGCACAAGTCATTAGCTGATTTGAACATACCTGTAAGCCCTACAAATATTAAATTAAAAAAGACATAAAAAATAATGGAACAGAAGTATAAAACATGACGCCCAACATAAGCACGATATCTCGAATTGCAAAACTATTCATGATCAAAAACACAAAATGGATTCTTACAAAAACATCAAGCATGCTTCTGTATAGTTACATGCTAGAAAGCTGGAACTGATCCATATATCTAATGAATCTAATAGAAAGATACTGTTTACAAGCCATGAGTAGAGCTACTTGCTAGATTAGGTTCCAGGCAATGAATGGACCCGACCATCTAGGTTATCTTAATACCCCTGTGGTTGCTTTTGCTAGCAACTTTTTTGGGGGTTGCTGCCATATAATCAAACTAGAATCTGCTATTTTATTCCTAATTCCATATTTACATTTTGTAGGTTCTCTTTTATTGTAATTGCAAGTAATCAAGTATAAATATTTTGCTATATTACATAATGACCGTACTAATATATCTTCAGCCTACAGTTGTATGGAAAATAGTAGAAAAGCTTCTTGTTCCAAAGCAACGAAAGCCTTTATCTGCAGAAAGCCAATCTTCTTCACAAGGCATGAAATGGTCTGTTGCAGCTGGGACAAATTTGTTGTCTAAACTTGGGGCAAAGATTGAAAGGGAATCTAAACAGAAGCTCAATGAGTTTGCTCGAGAACTGAAGTCATTTCCTAGCATTGATATGTCAGGTATGCATGCTAGAATGTCATAGAAAGCAGTGTAATGGCTATATGATGTACCTCATAGTAAATGAAGTTTTTTCATTCTATATAGAGAATGTTTTGGATAACATTTTTGTCAGCACTTTTTTTGGCCTAAGGATTTGCTTTTAGGAATACATTCTGTTCACATGCTATTCTAATTGGCTTTGGATTTCCTTGATAATGAACATGTTTTCATGTAATCTTTCACCTGATTTTGCTCTCTTTATAGTTACTTTCCCTACTGTTGCCATTCATTGATTTCATGCTTTATTCTGGTTCATACTTGATTCTATGTGACAATACTAGCATATGATCTTGGGTAATTTGAAAGAGACTCATAAATAAAAACAAAAAAGTTATTCATCATTAATGAATTTTGGCAGGACGCAACTTCGGGGATGAAGGAATATTCTTTCTTGCTGAGAGTTTGGCATTTAACCGGGTGAGAAAAATTTTGTTATTTGTCATTGCTTTCTTTTTTCTACCCTGTATACATGAAAAGCCAAAAGAAAAAAAAGCAAATATTTTAGTTTTCTAAAATTTCTTTTTGATCTTTTGTGTGTAGTAATTTAAGAAGTCAACTCTGTTCTTGGTCTTCAATAAGCTATTAATGCACCGAAAATTGTGTTGAATTCCTATATATCAGTGTGCTTTGGGCCATGTGCTAAGTGTTGATTTTAGTTTTCTTTTGTACATAGATTGTGGAGGAGGTGAGTTTTGCTGCAAATGGTATAACTGCAGCTGGAATGAAAGCTTTTGATGGTGTTCTTCAATCAAATTTCACATTAAAGACTCTTGATCTTTCTGGAAATCCTGTTGGAGATGAAGGAGCTAAGGTTAGGCCTAAGCATTTCAGTGTGTACTAAATCAATAATCATCAGTTAGCTATAAATACATTATGGATCTAATTTTAATTCTTTTGCTAGTCTGACCGCTGAGATAATTATTGTACTGCTATGAAGTGAGCACTTTAATGTATGTTATTTCAGAGTTAATCCTTTTAAAATGTGTGTTCACTGTTGCTTATGGCTCATTTAGTAGAAATTATGTTATTTGTTTTCTGTTGTATTCATTTTGACGTAACTAAATCATTAGGCCTAAGTGAAACGAATTTACTGAAGAGAAGAAAAGAACAAAACGGAACAGACCTATGGACAAGAAGTTCTCTCAAAATGGACGAATAAATATTACAGACTCAATCGCTGTAATATCCTGTTTGGTATGATGAAATACCTCTTAAGGGAAATGGATTAGGAAAAGAAATGTGAATAAGAAAAGGAATGGAAATGTGTTTAATAACTTTCATTAATGTCCTTCCTTCCAAGCCTGAAAGAAAAATGATAAAAATCTTGTAATGACTTTTGCGACACAGTCTGGTTTAATTTAGCATGGACATCCATGTTTACAGTGCTTATGTGACATATTGGTGGACAACTCCAGTATTGAAAAGCTTCAGTTGAACAGTACTGACTTAGGTGATGAGGTAAGTTTCATGATAAATAATTTGTAGGAGATGACCATTCTTGTTGCCTTAATTAATCCTCCTATGTTCGCAGGGTGCAAAAGCTCTCGCAGAAATGTTGAAGAAGAATTCAACTTTACGGGTTCTTGAACTTAACAACAATATGATTGAATATTCTGTATGCAATTTACTTTATCTGTTTTTTTGGGCTGTAGGTATGACCTTAGCCAAATCAAGGTGGCAAATTCTTATATAATTTGTTATTGGAAATGGAGGTAGGGATTTACAAGTATAGCTGGCGCACTTCTCGAGAATAACAGCATAAGGAACATACATCTCAAGTGAGTGAAAATTATCCTGTTAGACTTCCCTATAGCTTGTTGAATATGACAAATGATAGAATTATGTTTATTCAATTATCATATTGCTTTATCCTTTTACCTTGAGTTGTTTCATTAAGGGATATCTTGTTGTCTTTCATATATTCTTTTCCCCTTTTGTGAATCCTTCTGCCATTATTGCTGCTCTAGTGGGAATTATGGTGGTGCACTGGGGGCTAATGCATTGGCTAAAGCACTTGAAAGCAACAAGTCTTTAAGGGTACTTTCCTCATCTGTTTTCTTTTTGATGAAATACTCAACCTTATTGACTTTTTCCCCTTGCAAAATGATAAGTGTGAATTTTGGAATAATCATATAGGCGACTATATTCGGTTACCCTATTTATTTTCCAAATTCAAACAATTATCACAGCATAGCATCCAAATTTTTAATGGGTACTAAAGAAATATGAGTTTCCATCTTCCCAAAAGGATATTCCTACATTCTTATCACTGATTATTGTGGCATCTACTTACGCCACATGTTTGCCATGTAGTTTATTTAAGACATGCATGATTGACTCTGAGGCAAATGTTGCCAGGAACTTCATTTGCATGGAAATTCTATTCTAGATGAAGGAACCCGTGCCTTGATGTCAGGATTGTCTTTGCATAAAGGTAGTTGTGTTGTACTAGCTATTGATGTAGGTTGTGTATCCTTCATGCTTCAATTAGTTCACTTTATTATCTTGCAAATAATCTGTCAATGACATTTGTTGTCTAGGGAAACTTGCGGTTCTAGACATTGGCAACAACTCATTAAGTGCTAAAGGCGCGTTCCATGTTGCTGAGTATATTAGAAAGAGCAAGAGCCTTTTATGGTTGAATCTTTACATGAATGACATTGGTGATGAGGTATTCACATCTCTCAGTTGTCTTGTAATTCATGTTGCTGAATATATTAGAAAGAGCAAGAGCCTTTTATAGTTGTATTGAATGTGATGAGTCATTAATTTTATAAAATAGTGTTAAATATAGTGGGTTCCTGCCAGAAACAAGCTGCATTAAGATGCTTAGCAAATGATATTATGTTATGGGAAATGGAGATTCATTGTAGACATGTAAGATTGTCTTTTTACCAATTTGAATTGATTTGATAGTGTCATACCATAATATTTAAACCAGTTTGTATAAACTGAAGTTTTGATGGATGGGTAGTTGATGCTGGTATCTATATTGTGATAAGAAGCGGGCACACACTACAGAGGCAAATAAACTTCAGTTCCTTCTTTCTGCTTCCTAAATATCTGTTTGCCATGTTATACCTCTGATAATAGGGACATAAATCTGCTGAATCTAAATTTCTTAGACGACAATACTTGTTTTCATCAAAAGTGCTCTGATGAAAATGCAATTTTCTTCTTAACACTTACCTTCTAACCATCTCTAGCTCTTTAAAGGGGAAAAACCTGTAGAGCATTTTTGGACAGATAATGCTATAAGGAACGGGAAAGTACAAAGTCGTGTTTCTATTTTATAAAGAGCAATTTTGGATTTGATAATTTATGTTTGAGTTGAGTTACATGCTCTGAACTTCGAATCAACGGATGAGAAATTGTCAGGGAGCTGAAAAAATTGCAGACGCTTTAAAGGAGAATCGGTCCATAACAACATTAGATCTGGTGAGAGAAGCTAAGTTGCGTTTATTTGCCCCTCCCAACTCAAGGGAAATGAGAAAAGCGTCACTAACGTGACTTTAGCCTTACTATAATTACAGGGAGGAAATAACATTCATGCTGCAGGAGTTAATGCCATAGCTCAAGTTTTGAAAGATAATTCAGTCATTACCACTGTAAGCCCGCAGATTTCCTTGTCTTTTGTCTTAGTAGTTTGTCTTCATTATTTTACATCTAACGCAAAGTTTATCTCCTTTTCTCAGCTAGAACTTAGTTATAATCCCATTGGTCCAGATGGGGCCCAGGCCTTAGCTGAAGTTCTAAAGTTTCACGGAAGTATCAAAACCCTTAAGCTTGGTTGGTGCCAGGTAACCTATTTAACTTGAAAATTATTGTATATTCCTTTGTCAATCTATTTACCTTTTTATATGGAACTTCTTCACAGATAGGAGCAAAGGGAGCAGAGTTCGTTGCGGATGCATTGAAATATAATACTACAATATCTGTTCTGGACTTGCGGGCTAATGGACTGAGAGATGAGGCTTGTCTCAGTACCCTGACCCCCCCCCCTTTTTTGGTTGGAATTAAAGATTTTATTGCTCAATCTTATGTTTTCTTGCCTCTCTGCATTACAACCCAACTATTGTAGGGTGCTGCCTGTTTGGCTCGCAGCTTGAAAGTGGTCAATGAAGCTTTGACCTCAATAGATTTAGGATTCAACGAAATAAGGGTATAACTGTCTATATATGCATTTTATTATTCGTTCTTAAACCTAAGTTATCCCATAACGTCTTCTTTATTTGATCCACAGGATGATGGAGCTTTTGCAATTGCCCAGGCACTAAAGGCTAATGATGATATAGCCGTCACATCCCTAAACATTGCCAGTAACTTCCTTACAAAATTTGGGCAGGTAATCCCTGGTGCCTCTCATTTCTCCCCAGTTTCTCTTTTGTTCAGTTAAATGGATCTGAATATAGACTTTGCATCATGCAGAGTGCGCTAGCTGATGCGAGAGACCATGTTTATGAGATGACTGAAAAGGAAATCAACATTTTTCTATAGAATTCATAGTTTGCTGTTAATATATTTTGTGTTTCCATTTGAGGAAGTACTGTTGGTACACGAGCAAAAATTTTGGTTTTGTGGGGCCTTCTGGCAAGGACTCCTTTTCATCAATTTTGAATTCTGACCATAGATTGAGGGGAAAACATTTGAATTAGCGTTTCAGAGAGTTCTTTTTGAAGATTAGATTTTGTGTAGAATTTAAAGCTTGGAAGTTAGAACAAGATACGAGCATTGCATATTCTGTGCTATGTATGTCATTGAAGACGTTGACAGTGGACCCAAAAATATAATGCAATAAAGTGGTTATTTTATTCATGAACCTGCCCTTCTCTTCTCAAAGATAGTTTTATCTCTTCTCTCTATTATTGCATAATCCAATGTTTTCATAATCAGACTGGGCATTGAATTGGCTAAAGGTACTAGTTCAAGGCTTAATAGTCATACCGGTTTCAATTAAATTAATATAATTCAAATAATACTCAGTTGTTGAATATTAACATAATAGTATCTGTTGACTATAACAAATCGCCAGAATCATCAAATTTATTAAATTAATTGTCCAACCAAAGTAGCACGTCCATAATTAACTAGAGCCACCAATAAATCATTAAATATATACGATACTAAAGAAAAAAACCAATCAGAAGACAAATAACTTTGCTGTATATTTTCATATATTACTTTAACTGTTTATACTTATGGAAGTTCTTTTATTCACCCAATTCATCCCTCTTAAATGTATTATGCCCTAACAAGCTTCTTGTTTTTTTAATTGATTCTGGCTTCTTCTGTTTTGTCAGTTTTATTGATTCTAGCTAGTTTTCACTGTTTTTCTACCAATTTTGACCCGTTTTTGGATTGGACAAATGGTGGGTTTCTAATCTGACCAAACAAACGAGTTGGTCCGATCTAATTTTGATAACACTAGCATGGTGACCATCAAGAAGCAACAAATTTATTTTGATAATTAATTTTAAAGGAATTAGTATCTGCAATGTTTTAAAATCAATACTAAATATTATTAGGATTATCAAATTTATTGTGATTCACTTTAATTAAAATTTATAACTTTGCCTATGTAGTATAGTCGGTCCAAAGCCCAAATAAAGGAGGGTTGTGTAAGGCTCTGGACAACCAATGTAAAACTTTATCAAATTCTATGAACATGGATCCCGAAATAACATGCTATATGGCTCGAGTATAGTGAGAAGTAAGTTAGAGTCATTGCATCGTTGCTGGATGTAATGTTAAATGAGCAACGGCTACTGTACTCTTTTGGTCGAAGGCGGCTAAAAAAGTTAGTTCATGAGAGCAAGGTTAGATTTGGCACTTGGAATACTGGGATTTTGAATGAGAAATCTATAGATGTAGTAGGAGTTATGAGAGACAGAAGAATTAACATCTTATGCCTCTAAGAAACTATGTGGGTTAGAGGAGTTTCCAAAGAATTTGGAGGGTATGAACTTTGATACATAGGGAAAGTGAGTACAAAGAATGGTATTGGTATCATCATTGATGGATCATGGAAGAAGAATGTGGTGGAGGTTAAAAGATTTGAGGATAGAATAATATCTTTAAGATTAATTGTTAGAAAGGATAATATCAATATCATTAGTGCCTATACACCTTAGGTTGGGACAGAGGCACATCTTAAAGCTAAGTTTGGGGAAGATATAGAAGGATTGGTTTAAAGCATACCACTTGAAGAAAAGATTTTTACTGGTAGGGACCTTAATGAACATGTTGGTAAGGAAGGAGGATAATTTGCTGGGACTCATGGTGATTTTGGTTTTGGGGAGTTTAATAATGGAGAACAATCTATTCTTGACTTTCCTCTTGCACACAATCTCAAGATTGTCAATAATTATTTTAAGAAGTGAGAGGAGCATTTAATTAAGTACAAGAGTGGAGCTCAAGATCACAGATTAATTTCTTTCTGGTTAAGAATCTAAACAAAAGACTCTATACTAATTGTAAAGTCATTCTTGGGGATGGGGTGACTACCTAATATAAGGTACTTATCCTTGGTATACGTTTTAAGAGTATCAGATAAAAGTATCATCAAGTGGTTAAACCCAAGGTCAGGTAGTGGTTATTAAAGGGTAAGAAGCAGGAGTTTTTCAAGACAACCCTTTCAGAGAAAAGAATTTGGGAGTTGCAGGGACATGCTAACATTATGTGGGAGGAGATGGCTACAAGGGTTTGTATAGTTGCTGAAGCAACTTTGGGAGAATCCAAAGGTCATGGTCAGAGACATGAGGAGACTTGGTGGTGGGATAAGAATGTATAAGAGAAAGTTAGACAAAAAAGATATTGTTTTAAGGCCATACATTTATGCAATAATACAAAAAAATGGGAAAAGTATTGCTTGGCTAAAAATAAGACGAAGAAAGTAGTGAGTGAAGTATGTTCTAAAGCATATGAAAAGTTTTATAAAGAGTTAGGAACAAAGGCAGGAGGAGAGAAATATTTACAAGATTGCAAAGTAAAAGGAGAGGAAAAAAGGAGATTTAATTTGGACCAAGTGAGGTGCATAAAGGACGAAGAAGGTAAAGTTCTAGTTACTAACGGAAATATTAAGGATAGATGGGAGACTTACTTTTACAAGCTGTTTAATAAGGGAAGCAAATGTGCAACTCAGAACTTGAAGGACTTGCCAATTAATGAAGATCAGAATTTGGCTTTTTACTGTAGGATCTGGATAAGAGAGGTTAAGTTAGCTCTTAAGAAAATGGACAATAGTAAAGTCGTTGGATCTGATTGTATTCCTATTGAAATTTGAAAATGTTTAGGCGAGGAGGGTGAATTGTGGCTAACTAAGCTTTTTAATGAAATTTTACAATCTAAGAATATGGCGGATGAATGGAGGAAAAGCACTTTAGTTTCTGTTTATAAGAATAAAAGAGATATTTAAAATTATGCAAGCTGTTTAACTAAGGGGGTTAATGGAAAGATATAGGAGTAAAAGAAGGGATTTGCATATGATTTTTATTGACTTGGAAAAAGCTTATGATTGTGGGAAAAAAGTGATTGAACATAGGCTGAGGTTGGAGACTTCTATTTCTAAGAACCAATTTGGACTTATATCGGGAAGATCTATAACAGAAGTGATTTATTTACTAAGGGGGTTAATGGAAAGATATAGGAGTAAAAGAAGGGATTTATATATGATTTTTATTGATTTGAAAAAAACTTATGATTGTATGCCAAGAGAAGTACTTTGGAAGGTTTTGGAAAAGAAAGATGTACGGGTTGCATATATCAAAGCTATATAAGATAAGTATGGGGGGAACTACCAGTGTAAGAACGCTTGGAGGTAAGACAAAAGACTTTCCCATTAAGATTGGCCTACATCAAGGATCTTTTTTGAGTTCTTACTTATTTAATATTGTTCTAGATGTTCTTACTGAGCTTATTTAAGAAAAAATCCCTAAGTACATGTTTTTCACAGATGATATCATCCTCATGGCCGAATCTAGAGAAGAGATTAACTCTAGATTGGAGTTATGGAAAAGGACTTTAGAATCGAAAGGTTTTTGCTTGAGTAAGAGCAAAATAGAATATATGCATTGTAATTTTGGAGAGAGGCAAGGCAATGGTAATTTGGAAGTGAAGATGGGAGATCAAATCATTCCTCAAATGTCAAATTTCAAATATCTAGGATCCATTATACATGAGGATTGTGAAATTGACAGAGACATTTCTCATAAAATACAAGATGGTTGGTTAAAGTAGATGAACGCTATTGGAGTTATTTGCGATAAGAAGGTACCTGAGAAACTTAAGCGAAAATTCTATTGGACTGCTATAAGACTAGTTGTATTGTATGGTAGTGAATATTGGGCAATAAAGGAAAAACAAGAGCATAAAGTTAGAGTAGTAGAAATGAGAATGTTGAGATGGATATATAGTCATGTAGAAAAAGATAAGGTTCAAAATGAAAATATCAGAACACGAGTAGGTGTGACCCCCTATCGAAGAGAAAATGGTTGAACATTACTTGAGGTGGCTTGGGCATGTGTAGAGAAGGCCATTGGAGACGCTGGTGAGAAGGGTAGATCAGATAGTTTGGAGTCCTATGAAAAAGAACACAGGCAAATCGAGGAGAACGCTTAATGAGGTCATTGAACAAGATCTCCTGGTCAATAAGATATCTAAAGACTTGGTTGTTAATAGAGCATAATGTCGTAGTGCAATTCATGAAGCCGCCCCCACTTGATGAGTTAAGGCTTACTGTTGTTGTTGACTTTAATTAAAATTTATGAACAATTTAATCTAACGAGGTCATGGTTTCTAATCTGTTGGAGGAACTAGGGCTAACATTGCCATTCGTAGGAGAATTGACAGAAATGGAATTCTAGTGACGTGTTTCAAAAACTTTTCAGAAAGGCATTCATTGAAGTAGATGAAGAAGGCGCAAAAGTTGCCGCAGTAGCCTGTGCCATTAGTGAGATGGCGTGTTCTCCCCCTGAAATAGACCTTGCAGCACTGGATTTTAATGGATTGGGATTGAGAAAGAGGGTGGGAATGGAGCTTTGAAATTACATTTGGCACAAGATAATATATGGGAGGAATGTTTATATTAATTTTATTTTATAATTAGTCATAAACTATACAAAGTTTCATATACCGTTATAGCAATAAAAATAGGGGCTTGTGAAATATTATAGGAATAATTTGGTCAAAATAATGTTAAATACCATGAATTCCCAAATACCACAGTGGGGCGATATTGTTTAATCTCATCTGATATTGCACAATCCCAAGTATTATTTAGTGCCTCATACCAAACATGTTAAAATGATTCATACCAATGTCAATGCCAATATCCCAATATAATCCTCTTAGTGCTTTGTGCCAAATGGAGCCTATATTCTAACTCGGCTTCCTACTTATAGTAAATCAACATTTATCAGATGGACTTTTGAACACCATCATTTATATGCAATCATCATTATATGGGTGTTCATGCTGCCCATGCCTATTAGTTATTGGTTGATAAGCGGTTAGTTAGTAGTAAGTGGAAGTAACTACTTCAGTGGCATGACAAGTAGTTAAAGAGGGGATACACACATATCACACATTTTCCTTTCTTATTTGATGCTCACCAACCTTGAAAAATTATAATTAATTCTAAAAAAAATCAAAATGAAGTGATTCCAAGTTCTATTTGAAGCTTTCAAAGAGATCTTTAAGGGAAAAAAATATTTCCATGTTGTGATACCCCTCATGAGTGCCCAGATTCAACGCAAAGATGTACTGTTCATTTGGTTATTTTTTTAATTTTCTAGAATTTATGCCTAATTTTGGAAAGGCATAGCATATTACACAAAACTTTAATTTGAATGAATTACTACTCATTTTAAAGATAAAAATGAGGTCTATTTGACTATTAAGTTTGAGATTCCAACTCATCCATTTGCTCAAAATGTCACAGGTCATAGTTTTAGCACAACTTAGTTGAACTTCAACCATTCAATACTAATTCTTGCACCGTAGCATTTTGTCATCTCAAAACTAATTATTTATCATACTAATCAATTTAAAATCATACCTTAACCAAAATGTACAACACAAAATTATCAAAGAGTCAACCATTCATAGTTACATATTATACAAAACAATTTATTGAAAGGCAATTGGAGCAAAAGAAATGCCCCATATGCTAAGTAGAAGGATTAGGAAAGACTAATCCTATAAATGAAAATATTCCCTAGATTCAACTAATCAAAAAAGTACCTAAAAGGAAAATGTCATAAGCACAGGTGTGGAGGATTAATATATCAATGCCTGTTTTTAGCATTCCGAATCCTTCTACTGTCAACTACACCTGGCAAATAGGACCCTAGTCTCTAACACCTTCTAGAAGTTCCTACTCTTTAATCATTAATAATATTATCTGCACTACCTTTCACAACCACATTGGCTTTTCCTAGGTAATACTTTATTATAATAAAATTAGATTAGTAGTTTACAAACATTTTAAAAAAAATTAGTTAAATTAGTTTATAAAAAAAATGTGCATTCGTTTTACCTAAAGAATAAACCTTAGGCCAAGTTTTTGACATCCAATTGTTCAAGTTCTCTAATTGTAGTTATTATTTGACTATTGTTAGTCATTAAAATGTGTATGTGTAATTGTAATTTTACATATAAACAATTATAAATTTTTGTACAAACTATTCTAATGTAATTTAAAATTTGTACATTTTTATGTGGACACATTATTTTACTATTATCAGTTGTTAAATTGTGTATATGTACTTATAAATTCACTTATGAAATATGGATGTCTGTTATTTTACCATTGGTAATTGTTAAAATATGTACATATACTTGCAAATTAACCTATGTATAAACTTGACATAAGTTTTGTCATAGTCTAAAATACTTTTTCTAATTATTTGCATTGGAAACCAATCACATGGCCATAGAAACTCCCTTTACCTATGCAATTCATAAGAATACTTTAATTTAGAGAAAAATTGTAAATCTGTCGAAACTCATGCCTCAAAGTAGCCCTCCCCCCTCTTTTCTCTATTATTGCATAAGCCAATGTTCTTAGTGTCACATTCGGCATTGAACCGGCTTAATCATCAGTGTAAGCCTGTAAGGTTTGGTTTGAATTAAATTAATATAATTAAAGAAATATATATGAAAAATAAAATAGCTCAGATAATATTTATCCATATCCTTGGCATACGTACCAAATTTATACTCAACGATTGAATAATACAGTAATAGTTTTTTTTAAGAGGGATGAATTGGGTGAATAAAAGAATTTCGAAAAGTATAAATAGTTAAAGTAATATATAAAAATACACAGCAAAGTTATTTGTCTTCTGATTGGTTTTTTTCTTTAGTATTGTATATATTTAATGATTGGGTGAATAAAAGAATTTCCAAATTTATACTCAACGATTGAATATATTTCACTAGTCTTAGCTGCTTTGACCCGTTTGGGACTGGAGTTTGACCAGTCAAACCACCCAGGCCAGTCCCTTTTTGTGTTCGGTAACATAAAAGTTCGGTGAGTTAAGCTCCAAGGATTTACTACGACCATAACATGCTTTCAAGCTCACAAAATACTTATAGAAGTATTTACAAATCACCTACCAGCAACGTCTTTAGATTTGATAAAACTAGCATACTGACAATGGAAGTAGTCCAATACTACCTTCAGTTTTTAATATAAGAGCTAGTTGACTAATTTGAGTAGATTAAGAAAACTAGTTAAGTTAGTTATTTGTAATAAATAGGTGATGTCATTCCTAAAATATACTTACTAATTAAGTGTATTGACTAGAACTACTATTATTACAAGGACTATATTGAAAAATATGGATAAATATAAGAGACAAAATAGATTGGGTCTTATATTTATGACCAAAATAAAAATCAAATGAACTCTTATATTAAAGAGAGGAGATACTACTAACTCTTGTTAGGATTATCAAATTCATTGCAGTTGACTTTTAATTAAAATTCGTTAGCAATCTAAATCTAATTAAACCATTTTGTAATTTTAAAAACCAATATATACAACGAATGGAATTGGCATAGAAGCAATTACAAATTTCAATAATTAATGTGAATATCTTTCTCGAATTTTTCAATAATTTAAAATTTTAACATCGCTTTTTACTGACCAAATGAAAAACTAGCGAAGAGTGTTGAAATTTAGATTTCAATAATGAGATCGCAGAGGGTGATACTTGACATGCAATGTCGTATTAATAAAATCGAGCTAATTGTCAAAACTCAAAACATTAACCCCTACCCACGCTACCCCATAACCATATATTTGATTCTAAGTGATCCACTTAATATTGGATTGATGACTATAAATAATTAGAAGATTGCAATTGATTGTAAATACTAAAAAAATACTACCGTATTGATTTGATTTTGAAATTAATATATAAAAGATCATTATTATTATAATAATATATTATATCCTAATAACTATATAATGGATTCGCTGTATAGCTCTCTTCATTTTGGAATTATTGTCCTCTCTCTTGCTCTTCCCTCGTTTTCTCCACTTTCTCCCACCTTTTCCGTCGTCGCCTGAACTTTGCTCTCCGTCATGTGGCGGAATCTCGTTTCTCGTCGGAACTAGCTCTCCATCAACCAAACAGCTCAATGCCGGAAAGCGAGTACTGTTCTTTCCTTCTCATTCTCCTCAGTTTCTCTAAACCAAACTACTCCTTCCTGCTTGGCAAATCCGCAATTTGAAGAGCTTTCCAACCCCATGGCCTCTCGGAAAGCAATGGCGGCCAAACAATCCGACGTCTCATTGAGCTTTGCAAAGCATATATTCTTGAAGGAAGCCAAAAAAAAGACGTTGTCGTTTCACTATTATCAATCCAGGTGATGCTCGGCCTCGTCGCCACTTGGCTGTTCGACGTTTCCTTCGCCGGCGGTGGCCATTGCCTGAGTTTTGCCAATGCCTTGTGGCTCGATCAATCCCTAATTCTTAAGCCTTCGTTTGAACGTAATGTGGACTTTATAAGGCCACTCTGGCTCAAGTGGATTTCAGAAAAAAGGTAGAATAATCTCATGATTCTTTATTTAATTGCACTATTAATCAATAATCATACATGTGTGGATGTGATTTCAATTTCGAATATCGTCGATAACTTGCGTAGCAATTTGATTGGATTCTAGGCTTATTTAATTTACTAGAAGCGAAACTTTAATTTTGATGATGATGTGAGGTGAAAATTATTACCCCTAAACTTGTCTCCTTCAAGTATATATTTGTATTGTAGGCCCTCTTGAATCTGAATATCTTCTCTTGGTTAAAATGATATAGTTTTCTCATAATTGATGCATCATCTTGTATGTGACCTATTTAATTATACTGTCTTAAATGTGTGATCAATCTATGTGAATTCTAAATGTAAAGTCGGACGATGCTTCATTTTCTCTTTCCTGAGAAGCTTATATATGAGCTAGCTAGTGTAATTTTCTTTCAAAATATGAGTATTTTATTCACTAAATGAGTCTTGATATAATTTTCTAAGTATATAATTGATTGATGCGTATTTAAAAAAAACCAATTAAAATATTACAGATATATATGTAGTTGGGGTTTAAAATATTGTGACATTAGTAAAAAGGAAAAAAATAATTTTTACACAACACATTGATTTTAATACCTTCTTAGTTCTTAGTTTATACGTATTTTTTGCCAATATTTGCACGGAGGAAGCAAATTAAAGTATTATGATGAAATAAACAATTAACTAATGAAGTGATGGTTATAATTTATACAGGCTGATGAAGTGCCCGAACAAATTAATTCATGGGTGGAAAAGAATACACGTGGCCTTGCTAAAAACCTTATTTCGCTAGAGGGTCTCTTGGTAACTTAGATAGACTTGTCGTCTTTGTAAATGCACTACACTTCAAAGGAGCATGGTTAGAGAAGTTTGATTCATCAGAAACCAAAGACTATGAATTTTATCTTCGAAGTGGTAGAAACTCAGTGAAAGCACCTTTCACGAGCAGCAAGAAGAAACATCTTATTAGGGTTTGTGATGGTTTCAAAGTCCTTGGTGTCCCTTATGACCTACCGGAAGAGCATTGTTTCACAATGTATATCTTTCTTCCAGATTCAAAGGATGGGCTTCCCTCGCTGGTTGAGAAGGTTGGTTCTCAATCTAATTTTTTGGAACAACACCGTCCTAAAACTCGAGTGGGCAACTTCAGGATCCCAAAATTTACGATTTCTTATGTGATCATGGCTTCTAATCTGTTGAAGGAACTAGGGCTAACACTGCCATTCTCAGACAAATCAAAGGAGAATTGACAGAAATGACAAATTCTATTGATGGTGAACCGCTATTTGTTTCAAACATAATTCAAAAGCAAGTCATTGAACTAAATGAAGAAGGAACAGAATCTGCAGCAGCCATTGCCATGACATTATTGGCCGCTTGTCCACCAAATTTCAAGCCTCCACCTGAAATAGACTTTGTAGCTGACCATCCTTTTCTGTTTCTAATTAGGGAATATTGAAGTGGAGTAGTGTTGTTTGCTGGGCAGCAGCTAAATCCTCTTGCAGGCTAATCTCGAATTTAAGAGTTATATATTACTCCTCCGGTCCTAATTATAAGACCCAATTGACTTATTTGAAGAGATTAAGGAAGTAAGTTAAGTTGGTTATTTATAATAAACAAGTGTTGTTATTCCTAAAATATCCTTGCTAATTAAGTATATTGGCTAAAACTATCATTATTAGAAGGATTATCTGGAAAAAAATACATAAATATAATAGAGAAAAGGATTGGGTCTTATAATTAGGACCAAATAAAAAGTCAAATTGGGTCTTATAATAAGGACCGGAGGAGTACTATATATGGCTCATGTGTGTTATTGCAAACTCTACATATTCGTCTAACTCTACTTCTTGCTCATAGGAAGGACAAAAACTTGTATATTGTTCTTCTTGACATTGATTTTCAATCAACATTTAACATATGGATTTTTTGAACACATCATTTATATCTAGTCAATCATTGTATGGTTGTTCATGCTATCTGTGTGTATATTTTTTAACGTGTTTTTCCTTACTTAATACTCCGATGATTAATTTACAGACATTTAAAAAAATTCATTAAATTAGTTATTTATTTAAAAAATGTGTGCTGGTTTTCTAAACTATTCATTCTAATCATACATCATTTATCTAGTCATCATTATATGGGTGTTCATGCTGCCTATGTGTATATCTTTTAGCGTGCTTTTTTTTTCCTCATTTGATACTCCCTTCAATCTTAAGCGTAGGATTTAGATGATTAATTTAATTATATATATTAAAAAATTAGTTAAATTAGATTTTTTTAAAAAAAAATATGCGTTGGTTTTCTCAAATACTCCTTCTAATATTATGTATTAGAAAATACACACGTTCTTATCAAAAAAAGAAAAAAAAAGAAAATACTCACATAAGTAGAATCTCTCTTTGCATGTGCTATGAATAATTTGGAGAAAAATTATAAATATGAGAGATAAAGTGGATTAAAAATAGAAGAAGAAAAAACTTAAGTCAAATTTCTTATATCCATCATGTCAAGTTTTCCAATCACATGGGACCATGTGTCCTTTTTTGTTTTATGTGTATTTATAATTAAATACTATCAGATGTTAATATTTCAAAAATAAAACAAATGGTCATGTCCTGAATGGAGAACTTAATAAAATGGGTATAAACAACTTGATATAAGTATTGTCCTTAAAAATATTATACTCTTTTGGCCCTTAATGTAGGATTTAATTGGAGAGTTGATGTTGGTCCTATATATAAGACCTATTTCACATGTTTGTGAATTTTTTTTCAAATTAACTCTATTGATATTCTTCCGGTAATAATCAAGTATGAGAGAGAAGGAGGGAATTAAAAAAATGTTTAGGATATTTTAGAAAGAACATATATCATATTAACTAATTTAACTAATATTTTTAATTTACTCAAATTAGTTAATTATATTCTGCATTAAGGATAGGAGGAGTATAGGAGGAGTATTTAATACCAAGACATATAACCAACTCCTATGTTTATAACCAAATACATTGTTCATTTTTTCATATCAGGATTTTCTCATCTTTTTTGAGATTATGGACCTCAAGGTACTGATTTAATTTAAACCTAGAATTAATTGGTCCTCTGATATAGACATTATTATGATCATTTCTAAATGTCAATGCATTTATCTTTAAGTATAGTGCAAACATTTTTCTTCAATATTTCATGAAGGCAAGTACTGTTTGGTTCATAAGAAATGTCCTACCTTCCTCATTTCAATCCCAAGATTAAATTTTTCAAGTTAGGGAACCTTGCTTACCAAGATGTTTAGAAGCTCAAACTCTAAGAGAATTACCACCTCCTTCTCCTTCTGTTTTCAGATTTGTCTGAACACCCTCTAATTGGCAAAAATACAAGAATTTATTATTTTTTCCATTTTGAAGTACCCCTATGCCTTCAATAAGACAAATAATAAATCCATATTAAACAATGATAAATTAATTTTTGAATGTTACAACAACTGCATTAGTAAATTTTTGTTTTTAGTACGTAGAACCTAAGTTCTTCTTTTTTAACATTTTTGTCTTTTAGATAAAAATAATAACGTAATACAAAATCAACCTAACACCGTATATATTAATTTCTTGAAAAGTTAACTTCTCAAAAACTTATGTAATTGAAGGAAACCGTATATATTATTGTACGTGGGGGACATTGCATGAAGAATAAAATGGAAATCAAGAATAATCCATGTACGTATCTGTTAAAGTAAACCATATAAAATTTTCAATAAAAATGGAAAAAATATAAACTTAATTAATTGAGAAATTATATATTTTTCACCAAAATAGAGCCTTATTATGATATTAAAAATAAAATTTGATAACAAAAAGTATATAAAAACATATCAAAATTTGGAAAACATTATTTTGCACTTATGATTCAAGACCTTATTGAGCTATAAGATTTTACTCTTGAACGGATATGAATTATTTTAATTATGAGAATATTTAGTCCACTCAGTAAGTATTTGATGATTTTTGTGTTTTCAGTTAAAAAGTATATTAAAAAAACATATTTTTATGTTCTATTTCTTTTACAATAGACAAAAAGAATAAGCTTCATAAATTTGGAAATGACATGAGTGAAGATCTTTTTTATATAATTAATAATAACAATTACCCTCCTAAATGAAATCACCCTCCCAGCACTACCAATAATTTAACCATTTTAAAAGCAGTTTTAAGAAATAATTTTTCAAAACTTAACTATGGTTAAAAAAAAAAAAAAAGAGCTCAATGCTAACTTACTTGATGATAATGCTATCCGTGATAAAACAGAAGATAACCCAATCATAGGTGCTATCATAGAGAAAAACAACTTACTTAAAGAATGCTCGCGTGTAGTTAAAAATATTGCCAATAAAAATTTCAATATAAGAAATAAAGTCTATAACAAATTACAATAAAAATAAATGATAATAAGGTTTCTTTTTTTTTTTTAGTGGAAGAAATTATTTTCTTTTTCAGTATCCTATAGATATTAGGTGGAAGATTACATCACTATAAATGAGTATCCAAATTTAGTAGGTGAAATTGTAGGGCCAGTTTATTTTCTTGTTTTGAAAACCGTTTTTTTATTTAAAAAAATAAAAAGAACTTTTTTTAGTAATTTATTTTTAGTTATAAAAAAATAAAAGAATGATAACATGTGTTTTAAAAATTAAAAAACCAAAATAATTTTAAATGTTTTCTTCTTTTTATTTTGTTTTTTTTTGAAAATTGGGAAATATTTTCTCTTCCATCCACTCGCCCACTAACTGCCAGGCATCTCTATCGTTCACAACCACCACCGGCCATAGGCGAGCCAGCGACAACCATCGCTGCCACGTGCCCTCGCCAACGACGACCACCCATGTGCCTTGTTGACCCCTAGCAATAGCCACCACTCACCACACGCCCCTGCTGGTCACATCCGCCTCACCATCGGTGGCAACCACCACCTGCCCATGTATTCTCGGTGGTAACAAAAAATTTCATCATTAATTTTCGTCTTGCGGGGGAAAGACTTTGCTAGGGAATTATACTACTCTAATAACATGACTAATAACCAATGCTTTTGTAGCATGAATTATACCACTGTAATCAATGTTTATGTAATACTAATAACAATATTCAAACTAAGGACGTGTGGTTAAGTAGTAAGGGCTCATTTTTCCTTAATTAAGGTTGGGGGTTCGATTCCCGCTTAGGTATAGAAAGCACTAAATCTCCTAACCAACTATTCCAACCTTTGAGATATCTACAATTAGTGAATCCAAATTAGTCTGAGCTGTTGATATACCTGAAAGATTCTTAGGATACTGGATGGGTCACCTGAAAAAAAAAAAGAAAAAGAAAAAAAAGACCAATGTTCAATGTTCAGAGAATTGGATTAGACTGGCTAATTTGACCGATTATATCGAGAACTAGTTTAGCGTCCGATCCAAACATCACAAGAAATTGGAGGTTCGCAGAGTTGGTTAAAAACTGGTTAAATCGGCTTTAGATGGTTCAAAACCGATAGAATCAGCCACATACTTTTTAAAATTTTTTTAAAAGGTTTTAATCAATTTTACCGTTTGAGTGCATCCCATTATGCGCATATTATACACTTTAGTATATTACATTTTTTTAAATATATATATATATAATATTTTGGATTTAATTAATAATTTTTTATTAATAATTATTTTTTCGATCATATATGCTACTATTAATTTATCCATGACCAACTTAACTACAGTTTAATCCCGCTCTGATCTATATGAACTCTGAATTGTTGCTCCGATGGGGTAATTGCCTATCCAATTTGCTTAACACGGCTGGCTATAATGACAGTTAAGAAGCAAATTTATTTTGGAAATTAATTTTAAAGAAATTGATTGCTGTAATATTTTCTAACGAATATTGAATAATACTAAGATTATCAAATTTATTGTGATTGACTTTAATTAAAATTTTTTAACAATTTAAATATAACAAAATCATTTTGTAAGTTTAAAATATCAATAAATGCAATGCAATGCGATGAATGAATGAATGAATTGGCAAGGACGACGCGATTACGAATTCAATAATTAATGTGAATATCTTTCTAGATTTTGTCGATAATTTTAAATCACAAGATCATCTGTACTAACCCAATTAAAAACAAAAACTAGATAGCACAAAGAGTATTGAAATTTAGATTTAAATAATGAGAATTGACTGATATCTACATGTTGTACTATTAGTAAAATGAAGCTATTGCGTAAAACATTAATCCACCCACCCACACACACAAAAAATAGGTGACCATATGATTCTGATTGATTCATTTAATATTTGATTGATTATAAATATTACTACGTACTCATTTTGATTTTAAAATCAACGGAAAGATTATGATTTTAACCCTACAACATATCATATCTAATTCATAAAACGTTAGCTTATATCATAACCAACTATATATATGTGTGTGTATATGTATATATCCAATTTGCCATTCTCTCTTCTCTCTCGTTTTGCTCTTCGATCATCCTCTCCATTATGTGGCGGAATCTTGTTTCTCGGGTTTCCATCAACCAAACAGCGAAATGCCTGAAAAGAAGTACTGTTCTTTTCTTCTCCTTCTCCCCAGTTTCGGCTATTCACTGCGTAGCAAATCCGCAATTTCAGAAAGCAATGGTGAAGCAAACTGAGGTTTCGTTAAGCTTCGCAAAGCATCTATTCTTGAAAGAAGCGAACAAAAACGTTGTCGTTTCACCATTGTGCATCCAGGTGTTGCTCGGTGTCGTCGCTGCCGGATCCAAGGGCGCCACCCTCCGTCAGCTTCTCTCCTTCCTCAAGGCCACCTCCGTCGGTGATCTCACTTCCTTCGCCTCTCAGCTCTCCGATGTTGTCTTCGCCGACGGTGGTTCCGGCGGTGGCGTTTGCTTGAGTTGTGCCAATGGCCTCTGGTTCGATCAATCTCTAATTCTGAAGCCTTCGTTTAAACAGAGTGTTGAATCTCATTATAGGGCTAATCTGTCTCAAGTGGACTTTCAAAACAAGGTTAGAGTCTCACGGTTCATTATTTTCACTATTAATCAATAAGATACAATTTCAAATCTTTTCGATGACTTGTCTGATTCTAATTAAGCTCATTTACGATGAGTGAAAATTTGTCCTACAAAAAAAATTAGTTTGCTCATCATGTGATTTCATGAAAAATGTAGGGTAACCATACATTTCAATATATATGACAAACCAAAAATATATGGTATTGCTTTTTTTTGGGGAAAATAAATTTAAAATTAAGATTATTTGCATTACTTTTAAAACACTTTGTAGCTTTTGAATCATGAGATAAATCATGACTCATAGTACCTGAGAGAAGTTCATCTCAACCTTGTGCCTTGTTTCGGCATAATTATTAATTGCTACCATACTTGTAACATTGTCAGGTTCTATTGACTAGTCGAGATTTTCAAGCTATCCACTCTCCTTTCTCTCCATGGTTTTTCCCCTGAAAAAAATAATTTCTGTGGTTCTTACAGAAAGGGAGTAAAGAATTAATATAGATTTCTTGTAACTGATACATCATGTATGTGACCTATTTTACTTATATGCTTCAACCTGTATGATTCGTTCTTTCTTAAGAAGCTATTAGCTAGAGTGTCAATTTTTCTTATAATCTGAGAGAAGGCGACTCCTCTTATCCCTTGGCAAGCCCCTAATGCTTTTGAAGCATGGCAAAATAATTGATTTCATATGTGCATCCGCTTGGTTAAATTCCCTAGATGATTGAAGAATTATTAACCATCTAACATAAGGAACGAAATTAAGAGTTGAACTTGTTTCCTATGAGTCCTTTTTTTATTTTCGTCATCCCTAAATATAACTCTTGATAATATATAATTTCTAGGTATGATTGATACTTATTTTCAAAAATATCCCCAATAAAAATCAAAGTTAGTTGAGGTTTAAAATATTGTGACATTGAATCGGGGCCACGTAAAAAAATGAAAAGGAAAATAATTTTAACAAAATACATGAATTATGATATCTCCAATTGATTTGTGTGTGTGTGTGTGTGTTTTTTTTTTTTTCTTTCCATATTGAGAGGGATGAAGTATTATCTTGAAGTGATTAAGGAACAATGAACTAATGAGATTACGTTTAAATTTACGCAGGCTGCTCAAGTGAGCCAACAAATTAATTCATGGGTGGAAAAGAACACAGGTGGCCTTATTAAAGATCTTGTTCATGAGACGTCTCTTGGCAACTTAGATAGAATTGTCTTTGTAAATGCACTATACTTCACTACAAAAAATTGACTTTCAGCGGCGACTTTTGTCGCCGCTGAAAGTACAAAAGTCGCCGCCAAAAGTTTTTTGCGGCGACAAGTCGCCGCTGAAAAGTCGTTGCCGTAGCAGCTGTGGCTGAAAACTTTCAGTGGCGACTAAAAAGGTCGCCGCTAAAAGATACTTTCAGCGGCGACTTTTAGAAGTTTCGGCGGCGACTAATGTCGCCGCCGAAAACACTTTCAGCGGCGACATTTGTCGCCGCCAAAAAGTCTTTCAGCGGCGACAAAAAAGTCGCCGCAGAAAACACTTTCGGCGGCGACACTCTTGTCGCCGCTGAAAGACTTTTTGGCGGCGACAAATGTCGCCGCCGAAAGTGTTTTCTGCGGCGACTTTTTTGTCGCCGCCGAAAGTAATGCCTAAAAAGAATTAGCTTTACCAATGCCACGTCATCGCCGTCGGTGCCACGTCATCATCTCCGACCGCCACGTCATCACCGTCGACCTCCACGTCATCGCCATCGGCGGCCACATCATCACCGCCGACCGCCACATCATCACTAGCCACCTCCACGTCATTGCCACATCACTCCTCCTCGCCACGTCATCGTCCAAATATTTTCACCTTAAATGTGTCTTCTTCCAGGTTCGAACTCGTGACCGCCTCTTTTCGTGTCCAACCTTCTTGCCGCTGAGCCAGATTGAATTTGTTTATTAATATTGTAAAATAAAATATATACTATTATATTATACTTTCAGCGGCGACAAAAAAAGTCGCCGCTGAAGGTCCACTTTCAGCGGCGACTAAAAAGTCGCCGCTGAAAGTCCACTTTCGGCGGCGACAAAAAAAGTCGCCGCTGAAAGTCTTGGTTTCAATGGCGAACTTTCAGCGGCGACTAAAAAGTCGCCGCTGAAAGTCCACTTTCGGCGGCGACAAAAAAAGTCGCCGCTGAAAGTCTTGGTTTCAATGGCGAACTTTCAGCGGCGACTAAAAAAGTCGCCGCTGAAGGTGCACTTTCGGCGGCGACAAAAAAAGTCGTCGCTGAAGGTCCACTTTCGGCGGCGACAAAAAAGTCGCCGCTGAAGGTCCCCTTTCGGCGGCGACAAAAAAAGTCGCCGCTAAAAGTCTTGGTTTCAATGGCGAACTTTCAGCGGCGACTAAAAAAGTCGCCGCTGAAGGTGCACTTTCGGCGGCGACAAAAAAAGTCGCCGCTGAAGGTCCACTTTCGGCGGCGACACTTTTGTCGCCGCTGAAAGTCTTGGTTTCAATGGCGAACTTTCAGCGGCGACTAAAAATGTCGCCGCTGAAAGTCCACTTTCGGCGGCGACAAAAAAGTCGCCGCTGAAGGTCCACTTTCAGCGGCGACACTTTTGTCGCCGCTGAAAGTCTTAGTTTCAGCGGCGACTTTTTGGTGTCGCCGCTGAAAGTGGACCTTCAGCGGCGACTTTTTTTGTCGCCGCCGAAAGTCGTCGCCTAAAGTCTGTTTTTTTGTAGTGCTTCAAAGGGGTATGGTTGGAGAAGTTTGATTCATCAGAAACTAGAGACTATGAATTTCATCTTTTATGTGGGAACTCAGTGAAAGCCCCTTTCATGACCAACACGAAGAAAGAGGAATACCTTATTAGGGTGTGTGATGGTTTCAAAGTCCTTGGTCTCCCTTATAAGCGTCATTTCACAATGTATATCTTTCTTCCAGACTCAAATGATGGATTTCCTTCATTGGTCGAGAAGGTTGGTTCTCAGTCTAACTTCTTGAAACAACACCTTCCTAAGACTAACGCAGGAGTAGGTGACTTGAGGATCCCAAAATTTAAGGTTTCTTACGAGCTGATGGCTTCCAATCTGTTGAAGGAACTAGGGCTAACATTGCCATTCTCTGGAGGAGGAGAATTGACAGAAATGGCAGATTTCCTTGGTGGTAATGAGATGTTATATATTTCAAACATATTTCAAAAGGCATTCATTGAAGTCGACGAAGAAGGTACAAAAGCCGCTGTAGCAACCTATAACGATGGCGTCATGGCGGGTCCTCCACCTGAAATAGACTTTGTAGCTGACCGTCCTTTTCTATTTCTAATCAGGGAAGATAAAAGTGGAGCAGTGTTGTTTGTTGGGCAGGTTCTCAATCCTCTTGCAAGCTAATTAATTTGTTTATAGAGTTACCAACTTACCCCATCAATCTTTAAATATAAGACCCAGTTGATTAATTATTTTACTTTAAATTAATTTGTCTTACTCTTAAATTGATATATATCCTAGTGATATATAAGTATTTTAGAGAGATCATGTAACATAGACTATAATCAAGTAATTTAGTAATTTTTTTAATTTTTTTCAAATCAGTCAAATAATTCTTATATTAAAAACTGGAGGTAGTATACTTTTATTGGTCTTGTTTGTTCAAATATTATGTATGGTTCTTTGAATGTTGTTTTCCAATCAACATTTCGTTTTTGAACACATTATTTATATAGTCATCATTATATCGGTGTCCTGAATCGTTATTAGGTTGACCCCGATTCTACTGCCTCCTAAATCAGGGTTTTATTTAATATATCTAATTATAATTTGTAAAGACTCTAATCTCCTACACTTCTTAATTGAAAAAACAAAAAACGAAAAACGAAAAGAAAGAAAATCACGTACTGTCGTAGCCCCAGTCATGCATCACAGACACCGAGGAAAGGGATGACGGGCGACACAGGGGAGAAGGCGACAAGAGATGGAGGACATGGCAGGAGCTGGAGAGGAAGAATGACTCTTGTTAAGGAGGGAGGGCATTTTGGTCTAAGAAGTTTTAAACTCAGAATTAAATATTTAATATTGTCTCCCTATAACGTCAGTAATCCCATCCAATCCAATCCAAAATAGTCTGGTCTGGTCCAGTCCAAATAAACAATATAATGAAAATGGACTTGACTAAACTAAACTAGCTAGTCGGGTTGGATTGGATTCGAAACTAAGTAATCAGACCACCTACATTAGTCCAATCTAATCTAGGTGATTTTTTTAAACAAAAAAATTTTGTAATTTGTAATTTAAAATTTTTTTTAATTGTTATTTAATATTGTTAGAAATTGTTACGGATTTATGATTAAACCTTTATGTTTTGGGATGATTTTTATATGATTATAGGCTTTTTTGCCCTAATTGTATTTATTTGTATTAAATCTTGATTCCTAAAAAGAAAAAAAAAAAAAAAAGAAAATTAAAGTCCTAGACTACCTAGAGCAGTCCTGGTAATCCAGTGAACCAAGTCCAATTTAGCCCGATCTCGCACCATCTCTGGATTAGACCAAACTACGGATTGTTAAATCTTAACCTGATCAAATATAGACCAGACTTTGAGTTGAACTTTGGTCTAGTCCGATCTATCTATTATGCACCTTTGGTTGTACCAATCCTAAGTCAACCAACTCATTGTACCAAACACTCTTTATGATCCCCCCATACCTTCTAGCAAACAGAGCCTAATGGTTCAGAAAAATATCCCCTCATGGCTCATGAGCCTCCTCAAGGAACCATCTATGTGGGACCCCCCTCGGGGGATTGGGGTTACAAATTTAAATACTAACAACTTGGGCACTATTTCCTCTAAAATTTTGAACTTCTAAGAACTTCTATATACATAATTAAGAAAACAAGATGGCAGAAAATTCTTGCTTTTCTTTATGACTATTCTCATTATAAGTTTAATGTTATTTCTAAAAACTGTTTTTTTAATTTTAATGCGTTTAATGTTATTTCTAAAAACTGTTTTTTTAAATTTAATGCGTTTTTTTGTTGGTTTGCTTTCAGTATATACTCTGTAAACGTTGCTTTATTTTAATATTATTTTGTCTTTGGTTAAAAAAAGAAAAGAAAACAACATAAGTTTGTTACTCATAAAAAAAATATGTGCTAATTAATTTTTCTAAAATGCATCCCCTTTAATTATTCACACATTGGAGTATTATCGGCATATACGGTACATTATACAATAAGAATCTAACTACAAGAATAGCTTAGGAAAAAAGATAGAAAAGGAATTGAAAGCTCAAGGCTTGAAAAATGAAAACGCCACCATCATATATATTGATCTCTCTCTGGTGCTCACATTATAAAGTAAAACCATTTTCATTTTGGAGGATTGAAAATAGTAAAGCGGCATTGCATTTGAAGCTGAACAAATGGAGAGGAAAGAAGACGAAGATGGTGATGTAACGGAGAGCAACAATGTCCAGAGGATCTCTGACGCCATATGAGCACTAATATCCATCAGTTGAAAGCTCATCCTTTCACACACGTAAACGACGACGTGTTTGCTCATCCTGCAATTCAAATGCTTTCGTGTCTAGCCTTCCACGACGACAACTACTCCCAAAACATAAATATATATGCATACTACCTCTTATCTTTAATATAAAAATTAGTTGGGGTTAGATTTACTTTTAAATATAAAACATTAAAACCTCAATTCAATTTGTTTCCCATCTTTTCTCAAAATATGCCTATTATAATTATAAGGGTTTAAGGAAAGACATACTTTCAATCGTCCAATGCATATGATGAAAGAGGATATTTTAGGAAGACCAACACTTATTTATGACAAATAACTAAGTTAATTAATTTTCTTAATTTTTTCAAATTAATTATTTAGCTTTTTATATTAAGAATTGGAGGTAATGTATACTATGTACCTTTGGTTCTTATTATGAGATTTAGTTGCACTAATTTGAGAAAATTAATAAAGTTAATTATTTGTAATAAATATGTTTTGTTTTCTTTAAAATATATTTACTAATTATGTGTATTAACTAAAATTACTATTTAATGAAACATTTAATATGTGCAACTATTGTAGAGATTACTTTGAAAAAAAATAGATAAATATGATAAACAAAATAAATTAAAATCTTATATTTAAAATTAAATTAAATGTCAAATTAGCTCTTGTATTATAGATAGGAGATAATATATATATATATATATATAAATATAAATAGACACGCACCGTCTTTCTTCTTACTTGCATGGCTTGGTCTTATTTGTATCCATTACGTACTAAAGCTGTCCTGCTCCCAACGATTCACACCATTCTTATCAACTTCCATTCGCTTCTTATTTGTACTATACTCCATTCGATCCAGAATATAGAGCGTGTTTTAGAAGAATTTCTCATCATCTCATACCTACGTTCATTTGTTAATGTTTATTATAGTAGCAGCGTGGAAAAGAGCGGAAATAGGGGTAGGCCCTTCCATAGCATCCAGTAACCATACATGAAGGGGGAATTGGGCAGACTTAGCAACTGAACCACCAAATAACAGGAAGGCGCACAAAGTAACAAATAAAAGATTAACCTCATTATTAGAAATCAAGTTATTGAATATTTCAAACAAATCCCAAAATTCCAAACTACCTTAGCAACAACCATTTCATCTGGCATACGTATTTTTGATTTTCCAATGGATTTACATCTTTCATTAATAGAAATTTTTTGATGTAGTGAGTAATAGCTCTAGTTGTTCGCTCTTCAAGAACTCTTCAATAGAAACAAAGACACAGGGAACGGGTTACCCACTCTTAACGGTCAAAGTTAACCCTTTCATTCCGAATTAAAGAATTCGGATTCTTTTTTCTTGTTTTTTATGCAATATTTCAGTTGGTATAATGATATCGGCAATATATTATATCTTTACTTATATCTTGACTGGTTCTTTAGATCCAGATAATGAGAAGCGATGAGCTTTAATTCTGTGCTTATTGTAAAATAATAAAAGATTATTTAATTCAAGTCCAATTTTTCAGTGCACATTCTCGATGAAGGTGTCACTGTTTTGTTCTACTCATGGAGAAGAAGGGAAAAAAAGAAAAAAGAAAAAGGAAAATAAATTTCTTTTAGCGATGAACTCCCTCGTGGCCAAAATATAGGTACCTTTTAGAAGAAATCTTGGATCTACAATATAATATAAGTAATTCATAGAGTTATTGATTATCATTTTTAAATTTTACTCTTACTTATTGATGATATACTTACATTGGATATTAAGAAAGAGAAAAGAAGTGAGACAAATTTGAATAAAGATAAAGTTGAAAAATTTTAATTTCAGGCAGGAGTTATAGTTGTTCTTTCTTAAATCCAAGTGATTGAAACTTTGAAAGCAACTTACTACTCTCTCTAAAATATAGGTCACTTTCAAGTTTCAACCACCTCACCGGAATTAAAAAAAAGCGATTAATTCATTAAATCTGTTTTTGTAAATGGAAAGAAATTGTTAACTTTACCCATACTAAATAAGTTTTTAAAAGAGAAAGAAAAATATTAAAAAAATTACATTGGAACATTAATTGTAGGGTAAAAATTGACATATAAATATTATATACTCTATAGTATAAAGAATTATTTCTAAGTAGTAACTTGTAGTACTTTGGACGAGAGGGATGGAGTATATCAAATTTGTTTTCGGATTAGAAAAACTAATGCTTTGATTCTCATTGCGCTTCACAACCCAATATTTAAAAACGGGAGATGGACACCGATGGCTCATCTCCCAATACACACTGTTTCATTAAGCAAAAGTATGACCTCTACACTCCAAAACCAAGTCACTTCTGCTGTGCTCGTAGGAAAACAATTTTGTCGTGCTAGTCGTCACAAGAGAAAGAGAATTAACACACTTGGCGCCCCGAAAAATTGGAAAAAAGCTGAATTTCAGTTTAGAAAAAGTTTCAGATTGAAGAAGGCATCGAATTTCAAACCTTTGCAAGAAGAAGGCATCAAAGGTTTCATATCTTTCATCTTTTTTGCGTTCTCTAGCAATCTTATTAATATATATTTTCATATATATTAAAATGGGGTCATATGCGGGTAGTTATTGTTGTTGTTGTTGTTATTGTTGTTGTTGTTGTTGTTGTTATATATAACTGAAAATTTGAAGTGGGTTTAGATGGTTTTGTTTTCTGATTTAGCTTGTTAATGTTATTATGTGAGTAAGCTATAACTCGTATTTTTATTTTTGTTCGAAGAATAGTATTTGAAAAATGATCATTTTTTTTGGTATATTTTGGGTTCATAGAAAATTCCAAATTCCTATTGATGGAATTTTTTAAATTGTGATATATTTATTGTATATCGGAACCATATAATGGAAGATGAATTT